TTATTATCTTTTATTTTAATAAAAATAAGAATATAATTTTTTATTTATTAATATATTATATATAATTATTAAACAAATCATTTCCTTCTAATATCTTTTAATAATCTCTAATTTCAATTTATAAATCTTAAGATTAATATTAGTTGAATCTTTATTAAAATTAGATTAATAGAATTGATATTAAGTTTTTTATAATATTTTATTTTATATAAGAGTTTATTTATAATTGATATAAATATAATATTGTAAAACTATTGTTATAATAGATTAATAATAAGGTTTTATAGCAAAAAATTAGATTTTTGATATTATACCCTTAAAATATCAATTAGAGAGAAAAGAATTTCAAAGTAGATATTATCTATATTATTGTTATATCATTTTTCTATACCTATTAATATATCGATCTTATCCTTATTAACTTATTCTTCCCCTTTTTCAGAAATATTATTAATAAATCAATTTTCTAGTAACTTAATAATAATATTTCATTATTTCTTATAAGATCAATTAATATTCTTATTCTTTTATTAAGGTTTTCCAGAGAAGTCTATTTAATTATTAGATTCTTTTATATAAATCTTTTAATTTAAATCTAATATTTTTGAAATAAATAGAGAATCTTTTATAATATCTAAATTCTAATAATTAAATATAAATAAAGTTTCAAAAGTAAATAATAAAGCTTTTTATTTAAAAAACTTCTAAGGAGTTTTATAAATAAAAGAAAAAGAAATAAAGAAAATAGAATAATAAAATATAAATAGTAAACTAATAATAATATTATAATATATCAAATGCAAAATATTATAAATATTATCTAGAACTTTGGAAAAGGTAATAATATATTATAAAACCTTTAAAATTTAATAAAAAATTTAAATATTTTTATTATTCTTTTTATTATTCTTATTAATATAGAATTTATTTTTATTAGATTCAAAAAGGGAAAAAAATTCTTTGGGGAATTGAATTCTATATTGTTTGTGCTTTATATAAATTTTAGAAATAAATATATTTAGTATTTTAATAGTGGGTTGATAGTAAATATAATCTTTTGAGTTAATTATTATATATAATATATTAAGTTAAGGAATTATGAATAGAGTAGCTAGTTATACAAATATTGTAAGGGGTATTGGTTCAAAAACTAGGTTTGGTAATAATAGTATATCTACAAGAATTATATAATTGTAAATAACTAAAACTACAAATTCACTTTTATAATCAAAATCGACTATAAAAATAAACTTTATAATAAAATCTGGTATAATAGTATTCAAAGGAAGCAAAGTATTTTATACATTTAATAGATTAATTCTATAAATCCAATATTTAAACAAAAGGGAATTAATTATAGATTAATAAGAATCTATAAAGTATTCCAATAAATTACCAAATCGATTAAATTTATTCACTATTAAAAAACCCAATTTCTCTATTGATTAAGATTTATAAATATCTTTATACTTAGTCTTTTTTTATAAGAAAATCTTTATATTTTTTGTATATTATTTCCCTTATTGAATTATAATTATATTATTTATAGCTTTCTCTATATTATAGACTAGAATATTATTATAATAAGTATATATTTGATATATAAAATTAATATTAGAAATATATTAGGGAGATATTAGAATATAGATTTTCTTTTAGTAATAATAATAGTTATAGAGAATATAAGGATTATTATTGAAATAGTAAAAGTTATTAGAAGAAATATTAATAATATATTTGAAGTAATAAAAACAAATAGAGATAATTAATTCTGTTAGGCTAATGATCAAATATAATATAATAAATACAACACCACCAGATTGAAGAATAGTTATTATAAAATAAATAAAAACTAGAAAGAATTATATTATTCAAATAAATATATTTTCTAAAAAAAAGAGATTTCTTTTATAAAGAAATATAATAATTTGCTGATAAAATAATAAAATATATAAAGATTGTTTATTTATATATTAAATTATTTATAATATACAAAAGCATTGGAATTTTCTTTTGGGAATATAATAAAGGCATAAGCATATTGTAATGTGATTATATATTGTTTAAATAGCCTTAGGAAATAAATAATTACTTCTTAGGATATAAAATATAAAAAGGGGGAGTTCTATTATGGTTATAGATTAAAGAGTTTTATTAGATATATAATAATAAGTCCTTGGGTTTATTATATATTAAAGGGAGTCTGCATATATATATAAATTATATAGTTTTTATAAGTTTAAAAGAATTAATGAAAAGTTTTGGTGCTACATCTCACTTAGTTGATTTATTGCTAGTATCTACTCTAACAGAAACGATTTCTTTTAATAAAGATGATTAAAATGTCTTTAAATTTAATATAATTAGAAATAGAATTAAAGTAATTATTCGTGAATATATTAATCTATATCTTTTGAAAAATTGATCTCAAAACTATTTTAATTATATTCAAAAGTAATTTAATTACCTTTAAACATAATTTAATTACTTTCAAAACTAATTAAATTAATTTTTTTCCTTCAAATCTCGATTTCAATAAAAATTAATTTCAAAGTTCATCACTTTCAAAATATGAATACAAACTAACATGTTTTTATCAGTATACGGCCTATATCACTATGCAGCTCATTTTCACCCCAATTCACTCTTTTTTCTTTTAATATATATTTTATTAATAATTTATAATAAATTCGAATAATCAAGAAGCTTATATACTTCTTATTATTAAAACTATTTAAAAAAAACAAAAAAACAAATATACAAAAGATTATAAAAATATATAATATTTTATATATAATACTATAATATCAAATTAATAATATTATTTTTTATTCAAAATATCAATTTATATTTTGTAATTTTTTAGAAATAAAAAAGAATATTATTTCTAAATATATATTTAATATAAATATAAAAGATTTTTTATTTAAATTTAGAAATATAAAAAATATAGTAAATTATATTTTTAAATCGAAGAATACAAAATATATTGAAAAGCTTTAGGTATATTGATTTGTAAAGTATTGAATTGAATCAAGAATATATTTTAATTATATTTATAATTTTCAAAGAGCTTTTTATAAAAATTCTAAATTTATTGAAAATTGATTTTGATTGATTATGAATATATAAGTAAAATATAATATTTTGAATAAATATTTTTATAATTTTAATAAAATAGGGTTTATAATAGAAATTATATATTTTGAAATAATTATAATTAATATTAAACAAAATAATAAAAATAAAATAATATAATCAGGTAATAAAAAATAAACTATGATAATTATATATAATAATAAAAAGAATAAAACTATACCCCTATTTCTAATAATTTAAGAATAGATTTATTTTTCTAATTAATATATCAAAATCGATTTTTCTATAAATTAGATTATTAGATTTATATCTAATAAATAGATAAATAATAAAATAAAATTAAAATAATTGAAATATTTTAATAAATATATTAAGAATTAAAGAAAGAGTAAATATTGAATATTGATATTAAATAAATATAAAAGTCATGAATTAATATTATTTTAGAATTATTATAAAAAGAATAATTTTAAATATATATTTATTATTATATTCAAATTATTTAGTTTAATTATTTAATATAAGTTATTTTAATAATCTGAAATATTTATATAATATTCAAATTAATAAATTTATCAAAATATATATTAATTATATTGCAAAAATTAAATTCTTTATAATTTTCAAAATTTTATATTAAGAATCAATTATAATTTAGAATATGAAATTAGAGTTTAAAAATAGATTTAATATCTTTCAATTCTGAAACTATATTTTCAAAATTGAATATTCGAATTTATATATTTATTTTCTTTTTTTTCTAAATTGAGATTTATAAACCTTTCAAATTCTTTATAATTCAATTAAAGCTTTTTAATAATCAATTTTAATAAAATCTCAAATAACTTATTATTAATTAAACTCTTTTATATTTATATTCGAAATTATATTAGCTTTAACTAAAAATATAAAAAAATTAGTTTATAAAATATATTTTGAATATAAAAAATTCATATATTTTGAAAAGTCAATAAAACATTAAGTAAATATTAATATATAAAAAAAACTTAATTATAATAAAAATAGATTTCATTATTAAGTCAAATAGAAATACTATTCAATATCTTAATAATCTATTAAAGATTTTTGTAATTAGGAAAATATAACTATTATCTTTTATTTAATGAATCTAAATAAACTAGATTTATTAGTCTAAATAAATTTCAAAAAATCTATTGTTTTTGATTCTATTGATGCTTTATTAATATTTACACTAAATATATTAAATATACTTCTAAAATAAGATTAAAATAGATTTAAAAAACCTTATTAATTAACTATTATTTCTAAAAAGATTTATTTTAATTCAATAATGGAAATTAGAGTATTTGATTGTAATTATAGATTAATCATTTTAAGCAAGGAGTATTATTATAATACTAATTATATACTTTATAATTATCTTTATATTTTAGATATAAATCATTAGTATATTCTATTTCTTATAAGTAAAGTCTTACTCTTTTATAGCTCTTCTATTCTTATGATATAATATAAGTCTTTACCTATACCTTGATAATATAATTCATTAAAACGATCTAATTAAAACATACTATAATTCAATTATAATTCTCATCATAGCGTCTCTTTACTCTCTTTATTATATCATTTACCAACTTTCTTTTAATTTCTCTATTAAAATATTCTCAACTCTTATTAATTATTACGAGATTATATACTTCTTTATAGATTTTAATGAATTTCATATTTAAGTATATAAGATTATCTATGCTTAGAAGAATAAACTATATAGCTCATAAAAGCTATATTTATACTAAAGTAATTTGTGGTTCTCCATAAAGAGAATATACTAACTCGAAATTTATATATTATCCATAAGGAATCCCATAAGGGGTACGTCTGAAAACGGAAACTTTCTGATCTGAAATTTCTCAATCCCTTCAATCAATATTCATGATATCATCAACTCCTAATTCTTTCAAGATTTCCAATAACCCTTCATCCAACTTTGCTTGAGAAAGTCGATCATGACACCAGGTCCTCTGTTCTGAATTGACACAACTAAACGCCAACGTATCTGATTCATTGATCGAGTAAGATAAATTCCCAAATTCTAATACCTTGTCTTTGCACACACAACCCTCTTCAACTAGATAAATAGTACGTTTCTCCTGACAAACAAAAATGATCCAATCCCATGTTTCTTGGGAAATGATGTACAAATTTCCAATGGAAATGAAATCTTCCGAATAGGTTTTCTCAAGTATGTCTTGGAGGTTCTTGGAACTATGTAAGACTTGATATAACTTCATAATTATCTCATGAGAATCTTTGAGGCATGTACGGAACTCATTTCTAAGTAGAAGATTCACAGTATGCCTGGATACTGATGATTCTCTTGTTTCGTAGCAATTCCATATTTCAGGAAACCTACGACCAACTTGTTGACATAGTTGATCAAAAGCAAGACTGAGTATTGATCCTTGATTTGATATATGCCTATCGGTATCTTTGAGATACTCTTGAATGCATTTTGCAATCATGTATCCTACGAAATGATCTGTGGTAGAACCGAGATCTTCCATGATACTCATGATGAGCTCCAAACACTCCGATATATTGTATTCTTTCTCAATAAGAATAGCAAATAAACGCAAGGATCGTGTTTGGACCTGGTGGTTCGTAAAATCTCTTGCCGCAGCATGTAATAGGTGACTTGATTTGACATGAAATCGCCACCAAGGAGCATTGACTTCTGCTAACAACATTCTTGGAATGATAGCATTATTTATGCTAGTCGTATGGTCCAAAATAGACTTTGCCAATTCTTTCCATAATTCATAATGCCTAGGATCGCTTTGAACAGATGAGGCCAAATAAGTTCCAATGAACTCAAAGGCGGACTTCTTCAAATCCTGCAACTCGATATAGTCTAATGACCAGAGACGATCCGCAGAATTTTTCTTGGCTCTCCATCCATCCTCGACCTCCTTTAAAGTATCTGAGCTCTTGACCCTCAAGTCTCTATACTCCTGTAAAGAAACTCTCAAGTCATTGAGAACCATGAGACACCGAGCTTTCCATGATTCTGATGAAGCTGCATTTAAAATGGCTTTCCAGAGGTATCTTCTGCCTCGAAACTCTGATTCTTTCTTTTCTTGAGAGATCAACTGTAATTGATGCTCCAATCTGTATATCTTTCCTCGACCAACTCTACAATCCTCAACTCTCTTTCGATAGAGTGCCTTGAAGATGAAAATATCCCAGGTCATGAGTGCGGCAATCTTGTTGTGTTCCTTCATATAATCTCGCTTTTCCTTCTGGACTTGCTTCAATTTCTTTTCATGAGCGGTCTGTTGTTGCTTTAGTTTCTCTCGGTGGGTGGTTCGCTCCTGTTCTGATTTCTTTACTTCTTTTTCATGAACGGATCGTTCCTCTTTCAACTGAATTTGATGATTGGATTTTTCTTGCTCCATCTTCTTTTCATAACTGGTCTGCTGCTGCTCCAATTTTTTCTCATCGGCATCTCGTTGATGTTCCAATATCTTTCTATGGGTAATCTGCTGTTCCTTCATTTGCTGCTGATGATTGGCTCGGTTCCGCTCCAATTGTTGCTGATAGACGGTCTTTTCTTGCTCTGTCCTTTTTTCATGCTTAGCCTGCTGTTGCTCTAATTGCACTCGGTAGGTGGCTCGTTCGTTTTCCAATTTATCTTCATATGCAGTCTGCTGTTGTTTCATTTGCTTTTGGTGGGTGGCTCGCTCCTGCTCTAGTTGCCTCGTAAAAGTAGCTTGCTCCTCCCTCAGTTCTTTCTTAAGATCATAAATGTCTTGTTTGTAATTTCCAAGGCTGACCTGATGTGCCTTTCGATATCCATCTACGGTCTCCTCGAGGCGGATCTATCTTCTTGAAGGTTCTTGATGGTTTTGTCGCCTTCTGTAATCTTTTCATCTCTCGATTTGACATTATCCAGTGCAACAAATGTCTCTGATTGGGATTTCCTGAGAAGTTCTCTCTCCAGCACTCTCTGATCTTGGTTTGCTTTCGCTTCGGCTCGAAGTGTTTCTTGGACCCTACGAAGATCGGAAATCTCAAGGCTTTTATCAGACAGTCTTTCACTCTGTTCGTCGATAGTTCTTCTTGCCCCCTTCAATTTTTCGTGAAGCTCAGTCTAACCTTTTCTAGCCCTCTCTAATTGCAATATGCAGACTTGGTGACGAAATCGAGACATTTCAAGCTCATTTTGCAATTTTTTCATGGTATCTTTCGTGGAACTTCTATCAGCAACTTCTTTTTCTAGTTTCTCCATAGATTGGGAAATCTCAAGATATGACTTGTTGGCTTCCCCAGCTTTCTCTTCCAAAGTTTTGATGGTATCTTGCGCAGATTTATCTTTAGCAATACATTCTTGAAGGTGTTTCTCGAGCTTGGATAGCTCGTCGACTGCCATCTTTCTTGCTTCAGTCGCATCATTTTCAGAATCTCTCTTTGATCTCAGACTATCGTAATCTTTTTGGAGCTTTTGGTTCTCATCCTTCAATGCTTGATACTTGGTCTTGGAAATGCTATCTTCTTTGGCCAGGAGCAATTCTCGGAATTCTTCGCCCTTTTCTCTAACCTCATCTAGATCACCCTTGTAAAGGAGAATGACTTCGAGTGCTTGATAGAATAGACCACTAGGCAAATTGTCTTTAATTCTAAGAACTTTGTGCTTCGGGAGGCTGGTCTGAATCTCTTTTTCTGCATCATCGCAAAAAGCTTGAACCTTTCGGAGTTTCTCTGTTGCAAATTTGACTCTTTGTTTGGAATTTTCTAATGAAACTACCGTCTTCTTAAAGTCTCTAATTTTTTTCTTGGTGATCTGACCATCATCGGATAGTATTTGAACGCTGTTGTTGACTTCCATCGATAGTTGCTCATGGCGTTCCATAATCTCATCTGCTTCTATCAAGTCTGGATCGAATCTTTCTTCACCAAAGTCTAGTGAAACAGACATTGGCTCATCTTCTGGATGCAATATTTGCGACATGGTGTAGAGAATGAAATTTGTTGTTGTTGGATAAAGAGAATGATTGGTACGAACACAGAATGATACTTCTAGGGCGTTGGGAAACTTCATTTTACATGGATTCACGTGTTCAAGCACATAGGACTTAGACACACCACCCCCTCAAGTATCTTTACCACACATTTTTGAGAATCTTAATTTTTGAGGATTATTGATGGCACAGATTTGATAAAAGATCCCTAGGATATATCTCTAGTATCTTAGATACACTTCGAATCGCGAAGCTAGGAAGGGGGAAAGGCAAAAAAGATTCTCCTGTACAGTGACATGTACAACCCTAAGATTTGGGTACTTTGAGTAGAATTTCCATAATCCCGTAAGGGTAATTCCAAGTTTTCATCATCAATCCCAACAGGTCACTTAGCATGCCATATGTATCAAGTCGCATTAAATCATAATCAGCCCAGAAGGGCAGAAGGGCAGAAAATAGTTTCATAATTCTTGGTTACCTTGTGGTAAGCTACCATTCTATTCTGCTGCTTATCAATTGGGAGGGAATCCTCCCTTATGTGAACTCAATTGCCTCAAATCTTTTTCGATTTCTCCTGGACACAAACTGAACAGTAACCAAACCCTTCACGAAACTCTCTTACATCTTCCCTTGTCTTTCAGTATCTTTCTGTATACTTCCAGATTCTCCCATATCTCATATCCTCTACTATCCTCCGGTATCCTTCCAAATTCTCCTATCTTCTCATATTCTGCCCCATTATTCCTTCAACCCCGAATACCTTTTGATGGTTGCGGCTGTTTTATGTATCCTGATATTACTCCCTGCTACTAATCCTAACCAAATGGTTATCATCCCGGCCAAATGGCCTAAATCCCTTCAAACACAGTAAAGATCAAAATCTTTCAAGCCACCAACTTAATTCCACCCCCTTGTGACGGAAAGTCTCAAGTCCATTCCTGGAAGCCAAAAGGCCCATTTTTTCTCTCGCCAACCCGAAGTCTTTCATCTCTTAAATTTCTTGTGTATCCCTGAGCAGCTTGATTCTTGACGTTGTTAGGTGGTAGTGATGGGATGCTGAATTCGAGGGTATCAAGTCCCACGAGAGGTCTCGGGAGCATCGACATTCATTTCACTGCTGTCCCATCCATCGGGAATTTCCTCTCTGTCATAGAATAGCATGTATTCTCCTATATCTCTAACGCTCCACGGTGTGTTGTGATTGTCTACACCTGTACATGGAAACTTCTTGTCGTGTTGACCGACTTGATCCGGTAACATCTCTTGCCCATTCTTCCAATATTTTCTTAAACTTGGTAATCTGCCAGGTGTAATATTGACTACCATGGCTAAAACATATGTCGATTTTCAAATTTCCAAGCTGGTGACCTTCGGAATTCTCTTATCTGTAACTTCGTACACTGCCCCAGGAACCTCGACGTATATCTTGCGTATATCTGCAATAGTCCTACGGCCGGTTTTGACTTTGTAGTGTATTCTAAGAAAGGTTGATGGATGGCAGAAGCTCTGGGTGAAGGCAGTCTTTTCAGCAGGGTAAAAGTGCTCTGTAAGTGAACCTGAGAGTGACGAAGAATCATCGAACTTTAGTTCATTCAGCTCAATGAACTTTAGTCTTGGAAAAAGGCCAGTTTCTGTTTTTGCGCTACCATCTTTATTGATGATCCGATTCCAGAACAATCTATCGACGAAATGGAATTGTGGATGATCTTTGAAGAGTGATTTCATCTTCCCAATCAGTGCAAGAAATGATGTATCGTCTTTGCAAATGAATCTACTGGACAAACTTTCTATGAGTTCTCGTTTCATCTTCCAGTCCTTTTCTTGATCCCAGCCGAAATCTTTCATAGCGGCTGCCATGAAAAGCTTCTCGAAAGTCATGAGTATCTTGATGGTTTCTCTTCCTGGCGCTGAATTTGGACCTGGAATATTGTTGGATGTATATCCGAAGGTGGTTAAAAATCGCAAAACTCCGAGCATGATATCAATGCCAGATGTATCGTAACTTTCTCTGAGATTATGAAGCTGCTGAATGGATTCATCTGTAAGTTCCCCTCGTTCGTTTCTGGTCAAATCGAGATTGTCAATATCCGCTTCCTCAAGGAAAGCTCCATAATGAGGTCGAATATTTCTAAGGGCTAAGATCTCATGAAATTCTTTGTTCTTGTAAATATCGGCAGTATTGGGTATTTCATCCATGATTGCAATTGATGGATAAATGATTTGAAAGTAAATGTTTGATTATTTGTTCGTAATGTGATTCTTTGGTTTGTGGCTGGAGTGGTAAAGAATTTTGGTTGGTATCTATAATTGGATTTCATTACGTCACGTGTTGATTTTCGCTTCATCAAGGAGAGTCATTTCAAAATGATTTTAATACTTTTTTTTATCAAAACGATTTTGATGTCTACTAAAATGATTTTGATACTCTTTTACTACCTGTATTCTAATTCCTCTTCATTCCCCCTTCCCTTTGCCCTTCCCGATTCCCAACTCTCCTCCAAATATCTCTCGAGCTAAGCAGTGTACTAATAACAGTCATCACACCTACAATGCCCCTATCACTAACGATCCATCCCGTTCCCGCTCCGGGTTGAAAGAGATCGGCTGCATTTTCAACAATTTTGAGCAATATTTCAGTCTTGTATTTTCCCTTATTTTCATTTTTCCCTGGCTGTTCCACGATAACCTGTGTGATTTCGACTGGTTTCGCTGATAGATCTGAGCCATGTGGATCTTGCTGTGAATTGGGTTTCGGTGTTGTGTCGTTACTTGCAAACAGATGGTAAAGATCCCATAGCCCTCCAAATATCGATATACTCAGCGAATAGAACCAAAATTTATTGCCTTCGAGAGCACATGTTGAAGACCAAGGAGTATTGCATACACCCATAATATCTAACTGTTTTATGAATTGGGATTAGTGACATTTCTTACATGGCTTTTCTGATTTTGTTCTCTTGTAAAGGGTTGGCAAGAAAAATACTGGGTAGGCAGTTGAGTAGCTGGTACTTACGATGGTGAGACTTTCCACTATTTGAGTAGATCTTAGTCAGTCAAATTTCAAAAGAGCGAGAGCGGAAAGTAGTAACCGAGGGGAAAAGGAGCGGAAGGGCAAGAGAGTAGAAGTGTAAGAGACTAGGAGTGTTGGTATGTCGAAGGGCGGAGTGCGGGGTTCTAGATATATGAAAGTCAAGGAGGACATGAGCGCCTAAGCGTTGGAGTGTAGGAACTCTGGAATACGAGAGCGCGAAGGCATAGTGATATAACAGCGGAGGACAACAGGAAAAAAAACTCACATCCCAAATAAGCACCCATAAATCCCGATTTTCCTACATTAATCAACATCCTCATCCCATCTTCATTTAACAAACTATCCCATGCTTTTGAGAAATTTTTGATGAATCGAAAGAAACGCATGTAGCGACGTCCTGTGAGGGTGTTAGTTCAGGCTCTTCTTTATTATTCATGCCTTCGGTGTTCGTTTCGCTCTTTGAACCCGTCTTGGGATGAAGACTAAAACATGGTGGGCAAAATCTCCATTAATCTAACCATCGAACGATGGTCCTTGGGTTTAAACTCCGGAGTCAGGACTGGTTGGGTGGAAGTCTCGCACACTAATACAAGCATCTCATTCCCATTCCAGAGTAGCCTCCTTCACTCGCTAAATCTCCCCCTCGTCCCCTCATCCCGTAGTCTCATCTTCCCACCATCCTTCCAACCCCCCCTCCCCGCTCCTCCCTTCCCATCAACCAAGAAATAAAACCTACCAACAGCAAGCTCCCTTCTCGCCTTCCACAACTTCTCCACAATCTGCACCTGCAACTTCCCATCCACACTCCCCTCCCCCCCTCCGCTTCTCCTCCCCATTCCAATCCCCAACCCCAACAAAATCCACCCCAGAACCGTCGGATAAAATGCACATATTTGACATAAAGCTTGTATCAACCTTAGAGTTTTTTCTAAGCCGGCTTTTCATTGGGTACAAGATTAGTAAACAGTTTTTGCAAACCTACGCTATTGGATGGGAGGGTACAGCACGTGAGTTCAACGCAGTAAAGGGAAGCGGTAAGAGAACAACAGAGAATGAGGGAAAGAATGGGGGAAAGAATAAAAACCATACCAGCATCCGAAGCAAAATCTACCGCATGTTTTAAAACGCCCATTTTATTGACCTTCTTCTTCGCAGAATCCGTCAAGTTGTAGTAATCCACGGCACGCCCAAGTTGTGATTAGGTATCGTAAAAATGAATTTCGATCCGAGCCGAAACTATCTTCTTAACCACAACAATCTTTTCCGTAAATTCAAGAAACAGTATGGGAAAGTCTAAAATATCAAAGACCGTACCGTACTTATATCATTGAGAAAACGTCAATGACGAAGTTCAGGGCTTCTAGCTAATGAATGACAAACATTTTATGCCTGACCCGACTTGCATGGAAAAGTTCTTTGTGGAGTAAAAAAGTGAGGTGGCACTCAAGATCGCTTAGCTAGGAACATCCTAATCGTATCCCCTGAAGTGTACCTCGACGTCTATGATTTGCTACGTATTATTGAAATGCCTACATTATCTACCGTGTGAATATCATTTTGATTCTAATCTTCATGATTTGCATACAGATAGTTATTCATGACACAGTAATAAATACATCACATCTCAAATAATCAAATGAACTAAAATATTGGCTTCCAATTGAAATAAAGCACCCATGCTTGAAATCAATAAATACATTTACATCCCCCTATGAACAGTCGATCATTCCATTCACTTCCCAATCCATGCTCCGCTTCACTCCCTGATTTATTGCCCAGGTGAAATAAGTTTACCTTGTTGCAATGCATTATTGTCCCAACCACCAGCCAATGCTTCACCTCCATTCTTCTCTGCATAATCCTTCATTCTTGCCTCTAATTCTGGTCTGAAATGTCTAATAAGACCTTGAATAGGCCAAGCAAAAGCTTCTCCGAGAGCTATTGATATTCGTCAGTCAAATTCATCATGAGAGGTAAAGATATACATACCACAAATAGTATGACCCTCAACTTGTTTTGTAAGTTCTTGCAACATATCAATCTCACGAACTCTACCTTGACCCTTTTCAAATCTTTTCATGATTTGTTCAGTCCACTTGCTACCTTCTCTGCATGGTGTACATTGACCACAAGACTCATGTCTATAGAAATGACTTAATCTTGAGATGGCACGTACAACATCAGTACTCTTATCCATAACGATAACAGCTGCTGTTCCAAGACCAGATTGACTATCCTTCAATGCATCAAAATCCATCAATTGATCATCACAAACATCCTTTGGTAAGATTGGTGTAGATGATCCTCCAGGAATAACAGCTTTAAGGTTATCCCAACCTCCACGAACACCACCACAATGTTTATCAATGAGTTCTCTAAGAGGAATACTCATCTCTTCTTCAACGGTACATGGGTTATTAACATGACCAGAGATACAGAAGAGTTTTGTACCGGCATTTCTTTCTCTACCAAAGGAAGCGAACCAATCTCCACCTCTTCGACAAATCGTTGGTGCAACAGCAATAGTTTCGACATTTGCCACAGTTGATGGACATCCAAAAAGACCGACAGCAGCAGGGAAAGGTGGCTTAAGACGAGGCTTTCCTGGTTTACCTTCGAGTGATTCAATCAAAGATGTTTCCTCACCACAAACGTAAGCTCCCATTCCACGATGAACATAAACGTCAAAATCATATCCACTACCACAAGCATTCTTTCCGATCAATCCATCTTTGTATGCTTCTTGGATCGCACGTTGTAAAACGGTAGCTTCGTGATAAAATTCTCCACGAATGTAGATATATGCGGCCGTACAGTTCATTGCTCTTCCTGCAACTAAACATCCTTCGATAAGTTTGTGAGGATCCTTTCGCATAATTTCTCTGTCTTTGCAAGTTCCGGGTTCTCCTTCATCTGCGTTTACGACGAGATATCTTGGTTTGTTGTCGTTTTCCCATCCTTTGAAGTTCATGAATGACTATCATAATTTAGCTTTATCCATTTGCTTCATGAAACATTAAACCTACCCATTTCATACCAGAAGGAAATCCAGCACCACCACGACCTCTCAAACCAGAAGCCTTGATTTCGGAGATGATCTATTTTGAATGTCAACATCCATACCACTATATTTGCAAACCTTTCCAACATACCCAATCATGACCTTTTGCGAGAATATCCTTCGTTCTATGCCAATCACCATATTTTTTCGCACTCGCAAGATCCGCTCCGTGATGCCCATATAAGTTTTGAAAGATTCTATCTTGATCTCTTAATCCACCCCATTGTGTCTTCTTTGGTGGAGGTGGTGTATCTGCGACTGTGGCAAGTCCTCTAGATTGTTGTATCGAAGAAATCGAAGGTGTTAATCGTGCTGTTGTTGTAGAAGTAGATAGGATTCGGGTTGAAAGTGTAGAGGCTGCCTTTGCAGAAGGCGCATTTCGCGAAAACATTTTGATATGTATTTTGTGCTCAATTGAGCGTTGTTGTGAGTGGAGAGTGATCGGATTGGGGGGAGGTTGAGGTTGTAAATATTTCCGAATAGTTCAAGTCATCATAGAAATCATCAATGTTTGATTGGTTGAAATGACAAAGCTACAAAGTGGTGGCGATAGCCGAGAACTTCCGTTGGTAAGTCTGAATCTGGAACTTTAAATTTATATATTCCATCTCGACTCTTCTACTATTCATATGAAACAAGTGGTAATGTTATTATCTTTTGAACTTCTTATTCTTTGAATTATCATCTGAATATACTTTTATTTTGAGATTGATAAATATTCAAAGATTTTATAGAAGTAAGCGGTAAAAATTGATATATTTTGCTCATTCTATAATACCTGATGCTTTGCTATACAATCGGATAGAAAAATTACTCACAACAACCTCTATTGACCCTCTAGCAGATACATCAAACACCTCCACAAGCCTCGAATTCGTGTTCGGGTTTATCAATACAACAAATCATTGGCCAGTACTGGCCGGTATTCACCAGGACCTACTAGGATTTCCCTGTACCTACCTTGCCAAAGACCTACACTCTACATTTCAAGCCTTGACACCGCCTATCATCAATCATGTCCTCCGCCAAAAGAGCTTCCATGCTCCCTCCACCTCCTAAACCACCGATTTCATTCTCAAACAATATCACCATCGCAGACCATGCCTCTCTCATTGGCACAAATCTCATAACCATTCGAGGACATACCATTCTTCATCCACGTACCAAATTGAATAGCAGCTTTGCTCCCATTACAATCGGTACACAATGTGTTATTGGTGAACGTAGTTCAATTGGCATGTTGAATTTTCCATCGGAAGAACAAGCTCAAGGTGTTACATTGGAGAACGGTGTTATAGTAGAAACTGGAGCTGTTGTTGAAGCAAAATTCGTGGGACAAGGAACTCTCATTGAGATTAATGCAAAAGTGGGAAGAGGGGCTGTCATAGGAAAGGTATGGAATTCGCAAGTAAAAATGTTACTATGATATGCTAATGATATACTTTACTTAGCATTGCAAGATTGGACCAATGTGCGAGGTTGAAGAAGATGAGGTTATTCCAGATTATACAGTGTTATATGGAAATGGTTTACGTAGAATAGATAAAAGTGGTGTGGAAGGTCTCAAAATGAAGATGATCGGTCGACATGTAGATGTGCTTAGAAGGCTTGTTCCTAGCAATTTATCCAAATATCAATGATACCCTTTTGATTTCTCTTGTACTCCTGATATTCGTTTGCCTCAATACTCATCATAGGTATAGCTATGCTACTATTTTCCATACATGATTTCCGTAACTCCTAAAAAAGTTCCATCTCTCTTAAAAAAAAAAGAAAAAGAAAATGGCCAAGCGAAGGCTATGCAACTCTGAAATATAATACAAGCAAATATAGTTTAACTTTTGCCAATCAATTAATTACTTCCTCCTCCACCCCTAGGACGTTTTCCTCCATTTCCTTGTGAACCACCCTCTGGTACAGGTCTCTTTTGTCCAGGCTGAGCATTTGGGCTAAAATTTTGAGCTGCTGCATTCATTCCTCCCCGTCCCGTAGGATTACCCCTTCCTCTACCGGCAGCTCCTCCACGTGGTTGATAAATACCTCCACGACCACCTGCACCTATATTTCCACCTCCACGGTTTTGATTACCGCCACGCATTTGTGGTAATCGTGATTGATTTCCTGCTTGAGGGGCCTATAATTCGTTAGTATTAGATGTGAGAGGTTTAGGTAATTAGAGGTGTTGCTTACAGATGGGATATTACTGACTGGCAGTGAAGAGGCACCATTGGTGGATGGAGTTATTGGACGTGGACCAGAAGGAATTCCACTCTTTGGGGGCTCAGCCTCCTCAACCTTGGTGCCTTCTGCGGGCGCACTATTGGGTTGGGTTCCGGTTACGTTAGTAGGGGGAACAGCAGCTGTTGTGGTGTTTGCCGCTGCTGGCAGAGCTGCTGAAATCGGATGGCTTGGTAAAGCAGTTGTAGCCGCTGTAGCAGCTGGTGTTGGTGGAGGTGGTTTAGCATTCTTCGCAATCTCCCACACCTCGCCGACTGGCTTTTCAGGGGTATCTGTCGCCGCTTTTTCAACCACAGTGATTTTTGCAGTGGCGTTCTTCACCCTGTTGTCTAGCATGTTGAGCTTCAATGATGACTTCTTCTCTGCCATCAAAACAGCCTGCGCTTGACTGGTTTCGGCCTTTGCTTGAGCTTCAGACAAAGTAGCTTCAGCCTTCTTCCTTTCCTCTGCAAGTTTTTCAGTCACCAATTTATCTTGCTCCGATTTAAGTTTCTGAGTTTCTTTCTCAAGTAGCTTCTTCAAATTATTGGCAAGAATACTCTTGATTGTTGGATTTGTTGATAAAAGATGTCGAACTTGATCATCCGAAAGATCTGAACCATCAGTCGATGGTGCAGCAGCTTTACTTGGAGTGGCAGGTGTCGCTGAAACGGCATTTTCTTCTACCTTTGGAGCAGATGGAGTAGGTGGTGGAACGGATGAATCAGCAGTTTTGTTCTCTGCAAGCCAAATTTGTTTCTCTTGCTCAAGTTTTAGCTTGAAATCAGCCTCGAGTTGTACTCTAAGAGTTTCCTTGGATTCACCAAGTTTTTTATTCAAAGCTGCCTTCATCTTGTCGGAACGTTGCTTGAGTGTAACTTCCATAGATTCTTCAATTTCCTTTGCCTTCTCATCACGTTCCTTAGCCATAGCTTCAGCAACAGCTATACGTGCTTCCAATGCCTTTCTCTCTTCCTCTGAGATACCATTTTGATTTTCATCAATCTGTCCCTCATCAGCAGCATCATCCATCGGGGCATCGGATGTTTGAGCCTTTTGTTGTGATCGTGCTTCAGCAGCGTCAGCGATGGCATTATCTCTCTCGGAGTTAGCAGCTTCGAGTTGTTGCTTAAGTTCTGTGATTTGTTCCTCGAGAGCTTGCTTCTCCAAGATTGCTTGATCACGTTCCTTACGAAGTTCAACAAGTTGTGCATTGACAGCTTCGTTACTTTCCGATCCATTCATTGTTGGAGGTGCAGAGGGGGTCTTGGGTGATGCAACAGATTGAACAGCATTAGCCAATGCTTGATCACGTTGAGTTTTAACTTCATTCAATTCTTGTTCCACTTCAGCAAGCTTAGCTTCTGCGGCTTCCTTTTCTTCCACGGCAGTTTGAAGTTGTTCTTGTAGAGAGGTGAGCTGTTCTTGAAGGGAATCCCTCTCAGAAATGGCGACATCTCTTTCTGCAGCTCGATCATTCTTATCTTTCGTTAAAGTGCGATTCCTCTCCTTGGCTTGCTCAATCAACCTTTGTCGGGTAGTTTGCCATTGTGTTCTGTCATTCTCCATAGTACTCTCCAAAGTTTGTACCTTCTCCTGCAATGGCTGTTGTTCCTGCAATAGAGAGTCTCTCTCACTTCGTAAAGTCTCAATAGTCTCCTTCATTTGTTCCATCTCAGCAGGGTCGATCCGATTGTACTTGGAAAGTATATCTTGGTTGCGTTTCTGCCAACGATCACGATCTTCCTGCAATAAATGCATTTCACCCTCCATTGTCTCTTTACCATGTTCCAATTCACGAACCTTTGTCTCCAATGGTTGAATTTGTGCCAAGAGCTCTTCAACGCGTTTGGTTTTATCCGCAAGTTGAGATTGAGCTTGGCGGGCCTCATTACGCAAGGTAATACTACTTTCGCGGAAAAGATTGAGCTCATTGAGTTTGTCCATGAGATCCTTGTGTGCAATGGAGGTTTTACCGCCATCAGCATGAGAGCGTCGCTCTTGATCTAGTTTCAGTCTAGCTTCGTCAAGTTGAGATTGAGTGTATTCGAGTTGCTGTTGTAGACGTTTGGCTTCTTGAATCTTGATATCATATTGAACCTCGCCAATCTCTTTTTCGCGTCTCAAATAAGTATTCAACTCACGCAAACCTTCTAGAGTACGATCAGTTGTTCCATCCGCGGTTGGTGATCCAGCTTCCGATGCACCTGGGGCGTTGGATCGGGATTCTTGCAAAGCAACGATTTGTGAAGAAACATTATCCAACTGTTGGTGGAGAAGTTTGTTCTGTGCATTGACATCGTCTCGCCTAGTCTTCAACTCAACCATCTCTCGTTCGAGTTGTTCACGTCGTTCCTCCCAAGATGCTTCGCTTTGGCTCAGAGTGACCTTGGCAGACTCAGCCTCCGCCTTCAATGTTGCTGACTCTGATTTCAGTTGATTATATTCAACGCGTAGAGTTTGAAGATGTTTTGCGGCTTCAGCATGCTTGACGAGTTCATATTCGTAATCTTGTTGAGCTTTGGTGGCAATGGCTGCTTGGGCACGAAGGTCTTCTTGATGAAATTTAGCGGCTGCGGAGTCCTTCTCTTGCTCATCCTTCAAACGTAAGATTTCTGCCTCAAGTCGTGATTTCTCTTCTTCAGCTTGCCTAGCAACTTCACCTTGTTGATTTCGAAGAGCTGTCAGCTCATTGTTTGAATTGGTGAGCTCGGTAGAAATATCTTCAGCTCGTTGCTCAAGTTCGCGAATCTTTGCATCTTTCTCCTCGATGATCTTATCCATCTCCTCGCGAGCTTCATCCAATGTGGCGTTAAGACTTTGTAACTCCTCCTCGGATGATTGACTGATAGACTTGAATTGCTCAGCTTGATGCTTTGCATTCTCAAGCTCCGATTTTGCTAATTCCAAATCTCTCTTCAATTCTGAAAGCTCAATTCCCAATTCTTGTTCGCGACTTAGAGATTCGTCTTCAGCGCTTGTATCTTGTCCGACTGTCTCCTGAGCATTGGTTCCTGGTCGTGGTGTAGGTCTTGGTTGTAATAACTCAACACGTTCCTCTGCACTCTTGAGTTCGATGTATAATTCATCTACTCGAGCTTGGAGATGATCGCGTGATGTCTGTGCTGCAACAAGCTCCTCTCTTGCCTGGCTGAGACTATTTGCAAGCTCATCAATTCTCTTTTGATTCTGTTGAGCATCATAGTCCTTTCTCAACTGTGCTTTCTTACTCTCTTCAACCTCATCGTTGAGCTTTCGCTTTGTCGAATTCAATTCCGATTCCAAAGACTCAACTTGGGTCTGTAATCTTCTTCTAGTTTCGGATTCGGATAATTCGCGTTCATTTTGAAGAGTTTGTTGATTGGCAATAAGTGTATTGAGTCTACTGCGTTCGTTGGCGAGATTTTCATTATCCTGACTGAGTCGATCCTGGATGTCCTTCCAAAGCTTCTTTTCGGCCTTCAGGTTGGCGGTTTCATTTCGCATGCTCTCCACCAATCCCTTAGCTTCGATCAAATCCTCAGCTACTTGTTGTGTCCTCAAGTCTTGCTTGGCAGCAGCCTCGGAAAGAATTTGAGAGCGCTTTTGCAACTCGCTATTTTCTGTCTGCAACAATGTGTAATTAGAGTGCAACATTTCGTAGCGTTCATTGGCAAGAGTTAATTGACTACTAGCCTTGGAAATTTCTGCTTGAAGTGCGCTCTTTTCCGATGACAGTCGTTCTGTTTGCTCTCTAAGAGTGCGTCGATCAACAGTTTGTTCTTCCCGGTATTGATCAAAGTGACCTTGTAATTCACGCAATAAAGCTGCATAATTAGCATTGTCCTTTTGATTTGGATTTTCAATTGTTGACATGACACCATTGCCATCAACTGATTGACCAAACATGGATTGAAGATCAGAATTTGCAGGTAATTGTCCTCGGTGTTGAAGCATACGACGGAACATGTCTCTCTCCTTGATATAACTTTCGGAACGAGTAATCATAGATCTCAACTCATCCTTCAAGTCCTCAACCTTGGCTTGGAGAGTTTGTACTTGTTCATGGTCTTGAACGGCTTGATTCTTTGCAGCTTGAGCTTCTTCGCTTTCCATCTTTTGACCAAGTTCTCGAGTAATCTTGAGCAACTCTTGATTCTTTTCTTGTAATTGACTGATGCTGCGGAAAACGGTAAGTCTCTGACTGATAAATCGATCGGTATCAGTCATTCCTTCTAATGAATCTTCGCTGACTTCTCCTCGAGCTAAACGTTCCATTTGTGCTCGCTCACTAGCATTCAAAGTCTCTAATCCTCTCTCTTTCGCATCTAGATCACAAAGAAGCATCTTGATCTGGGCGCTGAGATCTCTGAGTTGTTGTCGAAGAATATTCACCTCTGCTCGTGCTGTAGAAGCTTCACTTTCTGCCCGTCTGACATCTTTCTTGGCTCTATCACGTTCCTTGCCTGTTTGATCGACAAACTTCGACATCTCCACTACCTCCTGTTGAAGACGTTCGTGCTCGGCTTGCATTTCTTCCAACTCGGGTTGTTTCGCTTCAAGTCCTTGCATCATCTCCTCCATCTCAGCCGCAAGTCGTTCACTTCGTCTCTTCTCGGTAGCCAATTGACCCTTGACTTTGTAGAGTTCATCAATAGCTTGAGTAGCCGTGATAGCAGATTTACTGCGCAAAGATCCAGGTGTACCAAATTGAGCAGGTGAACCAGATCTTCCAAACACAGATCCATTTAATCCTCTTTGTGGGGTTGATGGTACTGAGCCGGGTTGGGGTTGTGAGGATACAAGGGCTTCAAGTCGATCAATCTCGGCTTCGAGTTCCGAAATACGATGCTCCGCCTGTTCACGTTCTTGTCGTTCTGCCTCAGCTGCTTGTTGACATCTACCAATTTCCTCGGCAGCTTCATCCTTGATTTTTTCTACTCCCCCTTCGACCTCCTTCAATCTTTGTCGGTGTGTCTCGGTTTGTTGGGCTTGTAGCTCGGCGAGACGGCGTGCGCTCTCCAATTCCTGGCGGAAACCATCTTCACTTTTTGCGGCTGCTTCTTGAAGTTGCTGTATCTTCTGAAGTGAATCCTCTGCTTTCTTTTGAACTTCATCCAATCTGGTTCGTAAAGCTTGTTCGGTGCGTCTCAAAGACTCAACATTGGAGGTGGCTTCTTCATTAAGACGCTGTAATTCTGCAATTCGTGCACCCTTCTCTTTGCGATACTTCAAAGCTTCGGCGCTTTTAGTCTTCAATTCATTCTCAAACCATTCGTTGTTGCGCTTGGCCAATTCGACTTCTTGTTTCAAAGATTGCTCTCGGAATTTAGCGCTGGATGCCGCAGAGTTTGCATTTTGAACGGATTGTTGTAGAGCTGTAATTTGTTGACTAAGTTCTAATCCTTTTGCATGTTGCTTTTGCAAGTCTTGTGCAAGAGCGCCATTAGCTGTTGTCTTTGACTCGATAACAGCTAATGCATCGCGATTCGAGGATTCGAGAGAAGAGATTCGTGACCTTAAGGTTTCTAATTCAGATGTCGACGTCGAAGAAGTAGATTTCAAGGTTTGAAGTTCATTTTGAAGAGATGACCTTGAGTTCTCTAAAAAGATATAAATCAGCATCACCATATAGTATAGTAAAATTCAAACATCTTACCCTCCTCATTGAGCTTTGTTCTCAACTCTTCCACATTTTTCTGCGCCTTTTCCACACTTGATCGAAGTCCTTCAATGCGCGTCTCTGAACTTCTCACAGCATTTTCAAGCTCGATATCAACTCGCAGTTTATCTGCCGCCAATTCATCATGTTCGCGTGCCTTTGCGGTAACAGCTTCAAGGACGCTTCGAACTAATTCCGCTGTAGGATTATCAACAACTGTCTCAAGGGTCTGTTGCGGCACACTTAAATATGCCGACAAATAATCGACATCAAGTACCGCGGTCGCCATCTTGAAAAGATTCCTTCAGACAATTCGTGGTTGTGTTTTGTAGAGGACCATTTGAAATGAGTGGTTGAGAATTTATGTTGATCGCGTTGCTTTGAGAAAGTGAAGGTAGATGAAAGTAAGTAATAAAGTTGAAAGAAACCCCAGTGGCCAATATTAGATTGAGATCTATAAAATTCCTTTCATTTATTGTACGACCATACTAAATCTCGGAATGAATGAATATATTAATAAGAGTCAGTATTCAAATACCCACGATGATCAAATCGCGGTGTTGTCAGTTTCTTGTATAGATTCAATCAGTCTTTGAAAGCTAGCTTCCATGTTGCTTTCAGGTCGGGAAGGCGCTGACTAATATGTACAAACCTGGGAAAATTGAATAATGTGAATGGATGGTTATCTTTAGCGCACGCTTGGGCCCTGTACGTTCTACATGCGCTAAAATTTACTCCCATGCAATTTCTCAGCCTCATCTACAGTACAGTACGGAGTCTTTAAGGCACTGAGTAACTTCTTTGTCTTATTTCAACGCATCCCGTCGAACGTTGCGCCAAATCTTTTCGAACTCTCCACAGCTCTCGATTTTGAATACATACTGTATTATCCAGTCCTTACCCGTCGCACGCATCAGGTAATCGACATCAGGCTTCCTAATCTTTAAGCACCGACGTCATCTGGACCTTAAAATCATTATACGGTTGTGCAACATCTATTAGGCCTTGACGCAAAAAGGTCTTTTGGGCTCAAACCTATTTAAGACTTTCAATCTCGATACATTCAATATCATTAACCGTCATCATGTCTTCATTCCTGGAGAAGCAACAAGCAGCCTTTGCAAAGGGTATTCAAAATACTTCAGCTAAGATTACAAGCAAGCAGCGTCCCACTGCACCAGTCTCAGTACCATCACCCGCTCCATCAAATACCTCAAATACATCGAAGAGCGAGAACAAAGATCCCAAACGTAAGAGAGAGCCCACGAATGTCGTTTACTCTCAACCTGCTGCCACCGGTTATGGAACAGAAGCATTTACACAAGTCACCTACGTTATCGAATTTTTGAAGAAGAAAGATGAACCCAAAACTTTCCAGGAGATTCTAGAATATTTGAGTCAGGTACACGTCGAGCAGAGTAAGAAACAACTCATTGCGCAAATTCTCAGAAGACATGATCGAGTTCAATGGATCGCAGATCCTGAGTTGAAGGTACAAGCTTGGGATTCTGGCACATTCAAACACCGACCCATCATTGGTGTTCGTAACAAGGGAGCTTTGTTATCATACCTTCAAAACAAACCTGATGCGCAAGGTGTCAGTGTGAAGGATTTGAAGGATGGTTGGCCAGATTGTGAAGATGCGATCAATGAATTGGAAAAGGAGTACAAGATTTTGGTTACGAGAACAAAAAAGGATAATCATGCACGAATGATTTGGATCAATGATCCTACTTTAATTCACCCTGTCGAATCCGAATTCCAAGTCATGTGGCACCGAACGGAACTTCCAAGCGTTGATGATCTTGTTCGAAAGCTCCTCGAAAATGGACAAAAACCTGCCAGTGAAGATCCAAGTAAGCGTGTCAAGGTAGCTCCAAAGGCAAAGGAAAAGAAGAGAAAGGCACCAAGAAAGGGTGGTCGTACCACAAATACTCACATGGCACATTTGTTGAACGATTACTCTCATATGAAGCGATAGATGGATAGCGGAGAAATTGTAAAAAAAAATGGTGGGACGGCGTTTTGTGAAGGGGTTCAAATCATAATACACAGCGAGGGCGTTTAAATTCAAGATCTCAAAGGATGATTCTTCATTTGTAGATCCCTTGACACATGGGAAGGGATGGGGACATGGCTGGGTGGGTGGGAAATTGATTTATACAATGCCATGCAGAACTTACGGTAGATGCGTTATGAGGATAAACCCGACATAGAATACATACTTGCTTTTTATTGATCTTAAACTGCACATGTAAATTCTTTGCGCCTTTCGGGTTTTGGTAGTTGCTAAACTGATATATTATTGTGACAGAGCCCATATATAGATGCCTAGGCAGAGAAACATGCATCACACTCCTTATTTATTTTCCCTGTATTGCAAAAGTTCTCCCCTGGTCCATACGCGAGAAGTACAATTCAGGGGTCAAATAAACCATCAACATCAACATAAAACCGCTTCCCATAAATAACTACCAAGCATCAAAATTCCCAAATCCCCCCGACTTTATCTTCTTCTTAACAGGCGCCTCCTCTTCGTCTACTTCCACAACACCAACACCATTATCCGTTCCACCAGCTTTAAGATATTTTCCCACTCCGCCCGTCGACTCATTTTGTACCACCGTTCCATCCCCCCTAATCCGTTTACCAGTCCAGGTAGTTTTATCATCTTCTGTTCCTCCCTGCCTCATAATTTCCGCTTTTTCCTTCTCCGCAACATCTTTCTCCTGCTTCTGTTTTTGGAATTCTTCAAATGGATCAACGAACACTACCACATTCTCCATGACGATATCTTTTATAGGACGACTTTTATCGTCTACTTCCACCTTTTCGAGTTTAGAGAGTACATCCATACCACCGACCACACGACCAAAAATGGTATGTTTCCGATCTAAATGTTTAGCTTCTTTGTAGGTGATGAAGAATTGACTCGAGTTGGTGTTTTTTCCCTTGTTGGCCATACTCATTACACCTCTTGAATCATGAGTTAAAGGTCCGTCGAATTCATCTTGAAAATTCTTTCCCCAAATACTTGAACCTCCTTTACCAGTTCCTGTTGGATCACCTCCTTGAATCATAAAATTTCGGATATTCCTGTGAAATGATACACCATTGTAGTAACTTTTTTTGGCCAATTGAACAAAGTTCCATACCGCGCGAGGTGCCGTCTCGGTTTGTAATTCAATATTCAATGATCCCAAATTCGTTTCGATCCTAGCGTACCCCTTTATCTTAACTCGTTTCGGCTTTAACATGTATTCTTCATCCGTAAGAATTGCTCTTTCTCCACTGGTTTCTGGAGTTAAGCCTGTGCTTGTAAAACTTGCTGCCGCTCTTCCTGTTGTATATTGTGCTGCATTGTATGCCATCTTCTTTTCCTGTAATAATGAAGGTTTAGCCATAGAAGTTGTCGACCCTGGTTTAATCATTGATTTCGTGCGATTAACATCTCCACCAGCCTCCCTTTCCCTTCTAGCTTTCTCGACAGCTTCCTTTGCCCTCAAAACTTTATCTCCAACTCTGCCCAATGCATTAATATTAACGCTACCTTTCGACCTCTCTTCCTCTTGTTCTTTGCTCAAAACAGATTCTCCTTCTTTCAAAAACTTGAACTTGCTAAGATCTCGACTTTCGATATTTTGCGGATCTTGTAATGTTATGATATCCGACCTCCCAAATTCTCTATCGTCGACTAAATCCAACCACATCTTTGCTTTGATATTTAATCTTTCGACAGTTTCCCATGCAAATACATTGGCCTCAGTACCATGCCTTATAGCGACGATATGTGTATTATCTGTAAAGACTTTGAAGGTAACTGGATCCACCATTTCTCCTTTACCATCCCCTCCAGCACCACCAGATCCTCTTTCTTGCGCATCAGTATCTCCATTCCGCGCAAAGTTCAATTTTATCAAATCTTTCGCACTCAACGGATTTCCATTAATAGGATTTGTGCCATGCTTTTCGAGCCATTGTGAAATAACTTCTATATCGAATATAGTACCTTCTGCTGTACAGACTGGATGTTTGAATGGTTGTAAACTCGCCGCACAAAAGTTGAATGGAAGGCGCTTGAATGAGCCATTGGGAGCTTTTTGAGAAACATTTGATCCACTACTCGCGGAGAATGCATCAGAGGATGACCATTCGGAATGGGTGATCTAAATGCGATGTAAAGATTAGCATATGGGAAAACTTGACATTGGAACGTAGTCTGGGACTGGTGAAAGCTCACATATAGTTTGTCCGTGCCTACGAGAAATCGATGTTAGTATGCCATTGTATTTTAGATCTAAATGGTATTGCGACGAACCTTTACCCATTATAAACTTTTAATATTATGTTGTGGATGGTTGATGGAGGTATGAATATTTAGAAGAGAGCTTCATCAATTGTTTGATATTTTAGCGCGACAGACTGTTATCGGGCTTATCGTGGGTCGCTACAGTTACTTCAACTCCCTGGAGGTACTACCTAGTAGGTTGGTAGGTATTTTGAATCACACTTCATTGTCATATGCATATCAAAAATCACCATACAATTTATCATAATTCAATATTGCATATCACTTTGTTTCTTTGGAGATGTATGGATACTTAGTTCTTGACGATGTTTACTCAGGATCATTATTTGGTCTCTCTACCCGTACACTAAAGCTACAGTCCTCCTGGATGTGCTCCACATAAGAATTAGACCATCCTCTCAAGATTTTCTGCCTCCTTTGCAACAAGCTCATCAACCGTCAGTGCAACATGATGGAAGCTTTGTTTGGATCCATCCCAATAAATTGCTAAGCTATAAGTATCAAGTGATAAAATCACAGTAGTTGTGAAAAAAAGTGGTTGCGTCAAGTGACACCGTGAGAATATCATTCTTTCTTATGCCAACGACGTGGTAAAAAGAATGAATCCCTGGTGAGCCCTGGTGAGCTGAGAAAAACGTATTGGTGTTAGTTGAGCTATAACAAGTTGTTGAATACATACTTATACATACCCCTGGCCAAGTGATCCTCTCCCTCCATTCACTATTCATTCTTCGCTTCCCCTCAATACTCTGATAAAATATGAACAGTGACAACTGCTACATCTCCAAATCACTCTTTCATCTGTAATACTATCCATACTCCACCATTGCTTTTGTTCCTTTTCCCATTGAATCACAGCTTGAACTTCTAGCTCACCAAAACTCTCGCCTGGATACATCTCAATGTATGGCCTATGTTTTTCCAGATCGTCTGTAAGTAAAAAATAACGAATATGGTACTTGGGGGACGTAGTACTATCCTTTTCAATCTTTTGAAGTTCGATAATTGGTTCTAATTTTGTTGGTATGTTACCCGCAAGAAGGGGAAAAGCTTTGTTGAGTCGGAGACGAGCATCCAAGGCCGAAAGAAAGAGAGAAAGGAGGTTGGACGAGTGTCCCCTCGGGATACTAGTCGCAAGACAGCAGAGAATGACACTTGAAGACATCTTCTCTCGCTGGAGTGATGCGGTTCGGGAATGAACAAGGATTCAACGTAAGTTTTTAAACCATTCTTCCTCCAGATAGGGACTCTTCCTCTTCAGCTCTGTAGTAACAAGCTATGAATATCTATATTGATCGTCGAATTCAACTATACTTGTGCAGGTTTGCTTGAATAACGCTGTGGATTTTTTTGTTATGAATCATCTTCTATACGACAGCACACAATCTGCCTGCCGTACCGATTAACATCACCCTATCAACTCTGTTCTCATTTTGAGTAGCCGTATATAATTTATAGCAAGTGAGGTGTTGCCATGATGAAGTTTTCAATCAATCGCATGTTTGCCCATGAAAGAGGCCATGAGGTTCCCCGCAACGTTTAGGTGCCCGGGAAGAACGGACATCTGATTGTTAGTTGTGATGAAACAATGACCAAAATCTTGTGACAATAGAAGGTAGATGAGTATAAATAAATCGCCCTGCTTCCTATGCACACCAAGTTCAGGATATCCATAACCTCCTTAGGATTGTGTCATGTTCAAATATATTTCGGCTTATAGTTCATGCCGCTCCTGACTCACGCGACATCGCATTTAGAAGACGTATCTAAAGATTCTAGCGAGTTAATAATGTTGAGTTTCCATTACTCACCCTGAAACCTAAACATGAAGACCGTAAATAAACGAAAAATCCATTCTGGAGCAAAGTAGAGCAAGCAAAGTAGAGCAATGGTACCCCGCACCCCTCAATCACCCCTCATCGCTTCACTACCCACCCCCAACTTTTCAATTCCCAAATCTCGCACAATAATTGAGATCAAACACAATAATACTCCCCCAGGTATCAAGTTTAGAAACTTGCATGAAGCAACCCATGATCACAAGATAAATGAAAGCAAAGACAAACGACAGGTACAGTAATTGAATCAATTGACATTTCGCAAGCTGAGAACTGTACACTGGTTGGATTCCTAATGAAGAGAAATTTACTTCCGAGTCACAGTGTACATTGAAGTCCTATGAGAATCTACTACTTTTTCTCAACAAAAAAAAAGAATTCAAGATCAATCCAATCGGGTCACTACCAACCATGGAATCATCTGGAAAAGACTGAATCGCTGTTCCTCGAGAATTTTGCACCAGACAAAAATCACCAATGATTTCTCATCGAAACGACACATGACGCGAAGACATTCGATGTGAAATACTAGGACACTGGTTCTTGAATCTACACGGACTAGAGCCTGAAATGTCAAGACATCAGAAGCGCAAAAATGAGCAACAAGAAAGGAAGATCTCCTGGTACATACACATTTAGTACTCACAAACCCAAGACACTCAACCTTTTCTACATGCATTCCACTCAGATAAGCACCACTCAGAACTCACATTTCACATCTGTATCGCACCTAGCCCAGCCACATCTTAAATGCATCCCAATCATCACCATCTCAAAAGCAAAAGTAAAACCTCAACCGCTTTACCGATCCCACTTCTAACCGCACGATACGTGCATTCCTCAAAATCCCGATGTTTGCAAGACAATCATCAATCTGCTTGGCCGCTCGCTGAGCGACTCGAGATCTACCGTACATACATACATACAGTATATAGTACATACTGACCAGTACCCAGCGTGCCTATCAGATGCAGCAGAGCCCTACCTCCCGTTCGTGAATATGCATGCAGCAGCAACCAGCTCGAGTGCCATGTCACACTCGCCCGCGTCTAGACAATTGACGTGGTCCGCCACGCCTTGCTGATGGACACTCCGTCGGCGCGCAGAAAGAGTGGAGCGTATCGGCTACGCCGCAGGAGCGGCAAACACATGGCATCTGTGGGGTGGGGATGCGCGAGTGAGACTTCGTTGGTACTGGTATGCTATGTGTATGTGTATGTGTGTATGTATGTGCGATAGACGCAGATGATGCGGTGAGGATGAGGTTGGTTTGGATGTACGGAGAATGGTTGGATTTGTTTACCGTTTGTTTTTACAAGGAGATTGAGCGAGCGGGTTGGGCTGGCCTGGGCTTGGGTTAGCACCCGGTATGTTTTGGAGTAGGGGATTGGGATGGACTGGAGGGGCTTGAGGAGGGGCAGAGGTGCAGTGTGGAGTATTATACATCATTTCATATCACATCATCTCTCATCCACAGTACCTACCATACTCCAAGACCTCGATATCAACGTAAATGAATAAACATACGAAGCACAATATAAAAAGGAAGCGGTGTACCTACTGCCGGGCGGTGTAAGGTAATTGACAACTGCCGCCCCTCTATCCTCTCGAGCTTCGGGGAGTCATTCCAGACCCACCCACAATATCACGTCGAGAAGAATATCCGTAGCGGGGCGGAAGTACCAATTGGTTGGAGCCTCAAGGTGCAAGGATGGAGGGGAAGATACTCCGTATATATATTTATTGTATGTTGTAGAGTAATTTGTGCGGACGATGGAAATGAGAATGGGGTGGGATGGAGAGAAGGATATTGCCGCATAGGCGGTGAGATACCGATTTAATTCGCTTTCGTCCCTTCACGAGGCCGAGACAAGGAACAGGAAGATGGGGAGCACGGCATGTGGAGAAACTTTCGCGTTGCATATTGTGGGTGGAGGGGAGGGAGGGGGGGGTCCGAGGGGTGTGTTTCGAAAAAAGGGGCAAAGGGGAAAGGAAAGGAAGGAAAGGAAAGCAAAGGGAGAAGAAAGACAAGAAAGACTTGCTTGCAATTATTTGCTTGGAATACGGTACAGTAAAACGGTAATAAAAGATATAGATTATAAATAAATAACAAATAAAAGAAATAGACAATTATTTCGCCCCCAAAATTCTCATCGTTTAATCGCGTACCACAACTGTTCCAAAATGTTTCAAAAAGATCACATCATATCGTCTTGCGCAATCTGAGCCATCTTACTGTATGGTATGTGTGTGTCTTGCTTGAAAAAGGAAAATCTGTTTCACATGTACGTTTGTGCTTTTCCTAGTAACTCTCAAGGTGTAATTTTATTAATGCTGGGTCACTATCACATGACCAAGACGGTTTCTACGTGAGGGAAATTTCTAAATACACACCATGATGAAGTACCACCACGCCGTTGCAACCCCCCGATATCTTTTTACTGCGAAAAAGAAAATATGGAGAGGCGGCGCGGCAATTACATGTTCTTGTTTGGGGTTGGACAAGCAGATTCATGCCGTGTTTGCAGAAGCGTTTGGAGACTTAGTTTTTGGGGGGGAGGGGGTCTAGATCTTTTTGATATGTTTGACTTTGATTTTGCTCAAACCTTATTATTATATGGTAGACAGGTAGCTTCTTGGGTTGGTATCGTTCACTGATAGATGGTGGATGGATGGATGGCTTAGAAGTTGGTGTTGGGATGGAAATCATAGTTCATAGTTCATAGTTCATACAGTCAGTCAGTGTACACTAATCAATCAATCATATCATCGATCATCCAACTTCCCGTTTTAGAAAATGAAGGGACATATCGAATCTGACTGTACTCTCTCCGGAGGATCTATTTTTTCCTTCCCTCCAGTGTAACATCAAATTCACATACCATACCCATCCATACCCATACCACCAATGTGCCACACGCGCCACTGCAATACGACTCTGGAACCAGGCTTGTTCTGGAAATACAGAGGCGAGATTGATTTATGCAGGATGGAGGAACACTGCACGCACACATACATATATACACACATCGATGCAAGGACAATTGTGCGCCGTACGTAGATACGGTACAAGCAACTTCTTTTTCTGGATGCATTATCCGAGGTTGTATATGGAGGATGTGAGGGGTGAGTAGACGGGTGGGATGGGTTATCCTCATGCTGTATCTAGCCTGTGTGAGGAGGCAGGTACACCTACTAGGTAGGTACCTCCATTGGTAATGCAATGTGATGTGATGTGAGTGGCAAAGTGAATAGGGATAGAAGTGAAGAATCGGAGGAATCATTGAGAATTCCGACTTTCTGCATAATGAAGTGTATCATGATTATGAACGTGAAGATGGGGAAAAAAGGGGAGAAGGGCCGGAGGTAGAAAGGGCCAGAGGGATGAAATGTGGTGAGATTGGTGGGATCGTATGGTATTGTGTCTACTGGATTCCAAGGTTGGATGATATAATTGACATTTGACAGGCATATTGGGTACTGGGAATTTGGGGTAGTGTGATGTTTATTTCTTCATGTAAGTGGTTTGGCTCGGTTGGTTTGGAGTGGCACAAGGGGATGGATTGTTTGGATAGATGATTATGCTAAATGCTAAATGCTAAATGTTGAATGTTAAATGTTCAATATCAAACGCATTATCATCAGATACTCTACGATACCTACCTACCTGGGTAAAGATAGTTGGGTAACATGGAACGAGCCATTGATCTAGTGGGACCAAAAGTCAAGTAAGTAACCTACGGAGCGGAGAATCGATACTAACTATGATCTATCTACGGAGGTATCGGATTGTGTGATCAATTGAGTAGTAGTAGCACCGCTGCACCGCACCATCTAGTGATATTTCTCCGGAATTATGGATTCAATAGGTTAGATGACCGACAACGGAGAAGTAGGAAAGCGGAGGGTGGTATTGTGAAGGGGTGGAATAATTTTATTTCTGATGTGAGGATGTGATGTGAGGATGTGGTGAGAAGGATGAAGGAATGCATTGTTGGAGGGATCGGAGGGAGTGATGGATGTGATGGATGTGATGGATGTAATGGATGTAATGGATGTAATGGATGTAATGGATGTAAGGTGGTTTGTAAGGTGGTTTGTAATTCTTTAGCATCTACGTCTTTACTTGAAATATACTGAAATGGCGTAGAATTATTGCTGAGTGAGAAGGTTGAGGGGCTGAAGTTTGATATAGTACTTTATGAATGCCAATGAAAGTTTAGATACCTGCATTAATACTGGCAGTAGTTGGTACTGTAGATTTGAATAAATTCTTAATTACTCGAATGAGTATATCCTCGAAGAAATAATAAAATCATACCCATTCTTGAAATCCCAATGTCAATATATCTATGTCGGTCGACCTTACGTTCAAAGTTCTCGAACAATTCCAATTCCACTTCCACTTCCACTTCCACTTCCACTTCGATCCCTTTTCGCTTTGATACCCACGTTCCCTCGCCTCCCGAGTCCCCTCGCACGTCTCCCCTCACCGATCTATATCATACCATCCTATACCCTACCCTACCTTACCCTACCCTACCCTACCTCCCATACGGTTTCTTCCCCAAACCCCTGATCGACAAGGAGGGGCAACCGCCGCGTCGAAGGTTTACGAATCAATCTCCTCTGGGCTCCATCAGCGATATCCAAAGATCAAACTTCCCTGTTGGGTTTGCTCAATGATGAAACTTAATATCAATCTTGTTGATGATATATTGACAAACACCTTCTATCCTGTGTAAACCTTTGTAAACTGTGCGTATCCGTTCCATACGGTGACGGTAATTAGAGAAAGTTTATTGCTTCGATCCAGGTATCACCATCACTCCGGAGTTTCCTATCATCTATAGAAGACCGTCTTTGAGAATCAAAGTCCAAATGTCACTCCCCGTCCATCCCGAGCATCCCTAGATATTTCTCTAACATGCTAAAGAAACTAAAGGTGGATCATCTTTTGTGGTTGAAACTTTATTGAGGAAGGTTTTGAGTGAATTTCTTGGGAACCTTGGGATCTTGGAAGATTAGAAGATTAGAACATTAGAACATTCGGGAATTTATTTATTCATTCAGAAATTGATTGCGTGGTGAATAAAGGGAAATAAAGGGGTTCATTTGTAAATCTCTCTTTACGAATGCACTATTCTGAGCTGGGCTGGGCTGGCTGGGCTGAGTATGGAACATATGTCGTACTTTTTGATATGAGGATTGGTAACGTATACAAACGTATCCATCTCCTAGGGAGCTTTTAGGTGGCATAGGGAGTACGAAAACAGGTACGAAGGAAGGCAGAGAAGCTCCACATGAGATTCTGGAAGTATCATCATCTTTATCATTATCATCATCGTATTATCATCATCGTATTATCATCATCGTATTATCATCATCGTATTATCATCATCGTATTATCATCATCGTAGGTTACGTGCTCGTAATAGATTCACATAAGAACAAGTAAGATATGATTATATATATATATATATATATAGTACTATTATCGTATTCCAACAGGTAACAATGCTATATAAGCCAAGTACATACAAGTGAATACCTGGTAATCACCCAAAGTATAAGCAAGAGATGGAGGAGGTACCCTAGATTGGTACGTACGATGTTCCTAGATAGGTAGGTAGGCAACCAAGGAAAGTTTCCCAAGCCTTCTTTTCTTGTTGGATAATAATCTAAATTTAGGATAAAAGGGTACACAAATCAATCTTTCCTTCTTTCGAGTTCTTTCTTTCTCTCTGGGTGATTCGCCATCCTTACGTATGTTTAAATGGGACATGAGATGATTGGTAAATAGGAGTGGTAACTGGTAACTTGTAAGCTCTCATGAGATTTCCATTGAGAGTGGTGAAGGTATGGGATTTCACGTATGGGCTAGAAAGTATAAGCTTGAGCTATGAGATCTGTTGTATGAACTATAGACTATGAATCATGAATCATGAACCATGAACCACGAACCTTAACCCTCAACCATAAATTACAAACCATAAACTCTCAATTGTAAACCCCCAGCCATAAACTCTATCAATAACTTCAAACTTCACACTTCACACTTCACACTTCATACTTCATACTTCAAACCCATCAAAATCTACCATGGAGGCTGTGTTAAGTTGGTTTTGCACTACTGTACGGTAAGGTAAGGTAAAAAGGCTTGAGCCCACTCATCAGTCGTACTCACCCACTCACTCACTCACTCACTCACTCACTCACCCACTCACCCACTTGCCCACTCTTTACGATGTGTGTTGGAAAATGGAATCTGGAACCCATAAATATAATGTAAGAGAGAGGAGAGCTTAATTCTTTAATTCTTAATTCTTAATTCTTAATTCTTACTAAATTGATTCAAATGGCGTGAACTTGACTTGGCGTATTACCTGTGTAGTTAAGCATCTAGACTGTTCACGCTAAACCTAATATGGTAAGTTCTGAGATCAAGCATGGATCCTATTGAGAACATTCCTTTCTGGGATCATGACTTTCCATCAAGTAAATGAATGATGTGATGTGATTGGTCTCTGGATTTCCTAGAATGATCTTGAATAAACCCCTTAACCGAACACCGTGTTCAATTGATAAAGAGGACAGATCTCCCACCTCGAATATTCCCATCTCACCCACACAAGCAATCCAATCTCTCTCTCTCTCTCTCTCTCTCTCTCCCTCTTCTTTCTATTCCATCTATCCTTGCTTGGAACCTTCCATCATCTTCTTACTTTTAATTCTCTTCTTCCATTCCTTAATTCTTATTCGTCTATCTACCTGAATTAAGGCATCTCCAGGCATCTCCAGGCATCTCCAGGCATCTCCAGGCATCCATTGACTCATACCTTCCATCTCAAGTGGGCCACCTGTCCTCCTCATTATGGGCTTGTCCACATTTGACCCCCTCCACAATATCCTACATCTACAATAGTCATTCTGTGCATTAACCCATTTTGATTGTCCCTTTTCCTCTCCATCTCCATCATAGAACATCAATAAGAGATCCACTCAGGAACTTAAGAACTAAGTTTCATCATCCACTTTGAGTTCGAGGTCAAGGTCGAGGTCGTCATTATCAATATCAACCTCAACCTCACATATAACCAATCCACATCAATCACCATACCACCAAAAGATGTCGACTCCAAACCTAAAATTTGAGTTATCACCAGCAGATTCTCTCGCCGAATCTTTCACTTCGATACCTGGTCAACAATATCCTTCATTATTTCACACTGAAGGAAGCATGGAGCCACTACAAGCTATGACTCCACAATCTTTCGATGGTGATAGCATGTTTGGAGATGATATGGGTGAGGATATGGGTTTAACTGGAAGTCTCGCTGGTACACCTGCACCAGAAAAGAAACAAGTCAAGAAGAGAAAGTCTTGGGGTCAACAATTACCTGAACCCAAAACCAATCTCCCTCCAAGGTAATTTAATTCACTCGTCATTCATCACCTCACAACATTGACTAATCTAATCCCACAGAAAACGAGCAAAGACAGAAGATGAAAAGGAACAACGTCGAGTTGAGAGAGTTCTTCGAAATCGTCGAGCTGCTCAAACATCGAGGGAGAGAAAGAGGCAAGAAGTTGATAATCTTCAAGCAGAAAAAGATCAAATCGAACGTAGAAATACCGATTTGCAATTACAATTGGCAGATATGCAAGCTAGATATGAAGAAGTTCGTCGAAAGCTAGAAGAGGTTACCGGTATGGCTGGGGAAAATATTACACCAGCATGCCTTCCTCCTTCATCTGTTACTTCATCACCAAGTCGAAAAGAAAGTTTCGATGGACAATCCCCACTCGCCTTTACAAAACAATTATTTGGAATGGAAGAGTCTGGATCAACCATGACATCAATTAGAGATAGTCACAATACCATGCAATCAGCAACTGGTACTGTTGATCTAGCTTCCGTTTCCCCACCACCACCTTCCATGGAATCAAATGATGAGGACTCATTCAACCCCAGTTCTTTCGGTATGACACAACATTCTGCTGCAATGTTGTGCGACCTGCAGTGTCAACCGAAAGTACAAGGGCATTGGATGAGTACCCCTCAGAATATTCTAATTTCACGGGTTTTGGTCAGTACACTATGGGTTCAAATGATGACTTCACCAGTCATCTCGAATATCCTGATTCCCTTGGTGCAGATCAAACTTTCTTTAATGAACGGATCGGTCCTATCGTCGACGCCTTCACTAATAACTTTGATAATTTGGTTACTGACAACAACGGCGCCACTAACGATGCCTTATTCGCGGACTTCATTCACCAAGACGAGATCACACCATCTGCGCCCGAAGTACACTCTTCGGATTCGATTGTTGAGGAGACTCTTAACCTGCAGTCCCAGCTTGGCGCGTCCTCTTCTGGATGCGACGCTGGAGACAATGCGGTTGTCGTCTAATCAACAATCAGCTAGCGATTGTATGAACGGCGCAAAGGTGTTTGATCTTCGTTACGGTGGTAAGTCTTCGAGTTTGGAATCTTTAATAACGTTGTCTTGGGCTATTAAAGTTATAATGAAGGAACAGGCAAAGGAACAGACGTCGACAATTTCAAAACCGGACGCGGTAATGAATGTTGAGCAGTCTTCTGAGAAGGATTTGTTTGAATTTAGAGAATTTAGTAAGGGTAGGGTGCATGGGAATTCTTCTGTGAAGGATAACAGTATACTTGGGGAAAAGTCCTTGGACGGACATTGGAGTATGGCGTTGGAGGATGATCAATAAGTTGATTCATTTCTCTTGAAATTAGCGATATCATAGGGTGGTTGGCGTGCTAGACCTTGTATCATCACCATTGTGCCAATACAAATATTGAACATTTGTTCACATGAATTTTTATCGTTCCATCCGTGAAGCTTGATTGTGATTGTAATTTATACAAAGACCATCGTTCCTTAGCTTAGGGATGCCGCTCCGCTAGGCCACTGCCGTGGGGGCTTTCGCGCTTCGCTTGAAGAAGCGAATGTAATGTAAGTGAAGGACTTCCAACCTCATCAAGTATCCAATAATGCTGCGCCAAAATTAATTATGAAAAATCAAAGTATAGTGTTTTGATCAAACTAACTACTATCTATCAATATTCCCGTACTCCATAAACTTCAAACCGAATCTATAACAATCGCTATCTATCAAAATTTTAATGCTTTAAAAACTCCAGAAACTCCAAACTTCAAACTTCAAATCGAATTTATACATCTTTCGATACGATGAGATGAGATGCGCGTACTGACTGGTTGACTGACTGTGTGGATATATAAACCCAAGCAGTTACGCAGGTAGGTAGGTAGGTAGGTAGGTAGGTAGGTAGGTAGGCAGGTAGTACCTACTCATACCTACTACCGGCATGGTATCATATTGAAGCCTCGAAGCCTCGAAGCCTCACCCGAAGCCGGATCCAGACTATCAATGATTATTTCTGTATGATTGAAAGGATTGCGAACTCATATAATGATTTGAACCATGTGCATTGTATGTACTTGACGACTGATGATGCTGACTCATCATAATTGATGTTTGTCTTCGTTTTGGTTGTTGCGGACGTGGTGGTGCTGTCGGTAGTGGTGCTACAGGGTATTCACTTGGTGTGTATGGTGATAGGGTCTTAACACTTCTTGGATGTTCACGCTCCGATCTATGTGATGATGATGGTGGTTGTTCAGTGAATTCACTTGGTGATGGGGCCCTAACCCTTCTTGGACGTTCACGCTCCGATCTATGTGATGATGGTGGTTGTTCAGTGGATTCACTTGGTGATGGGGCCCTAACCCTTCTTGGACGTTCACGCTCCGATCTATGTGATGATGGTGGTTGTTCAGTGAATTCACTTGGTGATAGGGCCTTAACCCTTCTTGAACGTTCACGCTCCGATCTATGTGATGATGGTGGTTGTTCAGTGAACCCACTTGGTTCGTATAATGATGGGTCCTTAACGCTTCTTTCTGCATTGCTTTTTAAATATTTCTGTATCGTTCTGGGTGTTGTTGTTGATGATGATGGTGGTGGCGGTGGTGGTAGTTCGAGAGGTGGCTCACGTGTACTGCTACTTGCGCCATGTTCACTACTCAGCTGTCTCACAGTTAAGTCTGAGTCGCGAGAGCTTGGAACCCCGCTGTGTGCATACCGTCCACTGCCCCGTATCTTGGTCACTGCCCAATCTTGATTCCTCGTATGACTAGAAGTAGAAGCAGGACCCCTTCTCATAGACGGTTGTACAGAAATTTGGCTGATGCTATCCCATGGCCCTACAGTATCGGCATAACTATCAGTATCAAAAACATCGTTATGATGACCAGAACGACCATCGTTATGAGAACCAGGAAGTCGTAGGGTTGGGCAGAATGGTTCTCCTGGGGGAGCCCTGTTCACCGTTTCATGTGGTTGACGTAGAAATTGTCGAAGGCCATTATTAGGACCACCCTCGCTCGGCGAATAGTTATAAACTTTCGTTTTCCCATTGCCAGTAGTTGTTATTTCGTTCTGGGCCTGGGTGGTTCGCGAGATACGGGAGCCGGATTTGCCAGAAGGCATGATTTTTTGAATGAGGATATAAGAGGCGAATATGCGAGACTTCGGAATTGCTGTGGAAAGTGAATTGTGCGCGCTGCAGATCTTTCTTATTAGGACTTTTCAGGGTATAAGGTTCATGGATATATATAGGTAGCATTTTGAATATATATGTCAGCCTGAAATAATGGTCACTTCTCGGTACAGAAAAGGGATCGAGAAATCTGGACCGAGACCCGGAGGAAAATATTGCCTAGACGGTAACCCCTCGGTGACCCAATCCCACGATAATTTTGGCGACATATTATGGAAGTAAAAATGGGCCGAGAGGTTTGTTTAGATCCATGATAGCCATTTCGTCCGAATGGGTCGGAAAATGAGGCATTGGAAAAGTTTCAAGAGTTGCCTAGTAACAATTCGTCAAGTAAATCAACCAACAAAGAGGACATCTGGAAATATTGACTCGTTAGTTACTGATTTCGGACCTCACTCTCATTTCGTATACGGTTCAAACACTCCGCCAGGCCTGTATCGTGGTGCTTTCATCGCTTTGCTCTAGGTACCTAGAAAAAGACAACGTTTCAGCGAAGCGATATAAAGAGGACTGAATTTCCATGTCGGATTTTACCAATTTGGTGTAAACGTTATAAAGAAAGTCTCTTCAATTATATGATAAGAAACTTTCATGTATGAATAATGGTAGAATGAATTGTTTCTAGATATATAACTGAGACATATAACGGGCAAGATGGTGAGAAAAGGAAATGAGAAAAGGAAATGATCAATGATGAGAAGAATTGGATTGCGGAAGCAAGCAATTGAAGACAACGGGGTAAAGTATTAACAACAGAGTGGATGAAGATGAGGTAACTAAAAGGTCTCTGGTAGTCCGAAAACTTAATCTCTGCACAAATAACAAAATGATGTGAGGGTTTCCTTATCCCACAGCACAGGTTAGAATGATTCGCACTTCAAGAACTGCACTGTTGTTATGTAGATGGATGAACAAACAATTGGATAGAAGGATGAGTGAACGACTAAATATATGAATGAATGAACGTCAGATACATAGATATATGTGAATAGAGGCCAAATAAATGATTGCATATATCCCCTCCTCCACTCCAATGTGTAAGGAACGATGAGGTAAAAGTGCAGAACAAATTGTCAATTCGATTCATTATGAATCAGTACTTCCCCAATAACCGCAGATATAACAGCAAAGCAGTGTTTCATAACCAGTATAAGCTTTCCAGTGGACCAGTAGATAGATATTGGAGATTGCCATGTCGATGAGTCGATATCATACCAAATTCTCAGCAGTTTGTCTATTCCCGTCGTCTCTAAGAATAATTCGATGAGCATCATTTCGACCAAACAATTCCTCTCGATTTTCATCGCTTTCACTGTGGAAGTGAAATTTGAGCATAAAAGTTTGATTTTGAATCGGTAATGCTATGATGTATTGTATAGCCCTGAAAGAAAATATTAGAAAACTATATCCACAAAAATATTGTTGATAACTTACATGGCGAAAAAGGCGATTACAATCCCATCAACCACTAGATAATTCTCGTAGTTGTTCACCATCCCACCAATCATTGAAAATGCTAAACCACTAGCCAACAAGAAATCCATAACATTTGTTGCTTTAGCTCCATTTGGTCTAACGGATAATTTACTCTGCCAGGAACCACGGCTAATTTCAACAGTGACATGAAAGACTGATGAAACAAATGTATGCAGGATTCGAACGGTATTGAAGATCAAACTGAGCATGAGAAAGACATCAGCAGCGATATACTTCTCATGACCATAGGTAACGAATAGTGCGAAAGCGGCTGATCCGAATGCGAGGTTCATGAGTCGGAGAATAAGTACATAGTTGATGGTGATAGAACGACTCTTGGAGGTACGAGGAGAATATTCCTCAGATGTTCGATATCCATCTGAACTTGGGGCAATGTATCGATCTGAATCCGTGGATTCTCGAGGGAGGGGAGAATAATCTGGGGAACCCATGATTGGAAATAGATGCTTCGTTATTGATGCTGTAATTCTATAATTTGACGAAAATGTAAACGCGTAGAACGAACGAAAAGAATGAATGAGAAGTACTACATGGAAATCAAGGACATTTGAGGTAATAAGTAAACAAAACAATACGATTGACAATCCACGTATTCAATTCTTATGTAAACAAAAAGCAAGGTATCTATCAAAGCGCTTCGTGTAAGAAAGGCGGCGTATGAAACTATATACGGGAATTTCGAAATAGCTTCCACAAATCAAACAGATTGACTCGGCCACTCAACCTTAAATCTCAATGATCTATTGCAAGTGTCATATAAATATCAAAGATCATTGGCTGGAAAACTCGCTTGAGTTCCATCTTGCATATACCCAGCCTTAGGGAGGATTTGAAATGCATATATTTGTACCAAATGGACCGGGACTGCAGAGCATAGCCACGTTAATGGGTTCACTGTGACGGCCTGCTAGGAGACACTCGAGGATGAACCATATAATGAAAGATGAATGCCTAATTGACCATCAAGTTGATAAGATAAGTATCCTTGAATGTTTCATGTGTGTGACATACCGTCCCAACCTCTTTCGCTGTTGTTCGTGAAATGTCTTCGGGGCGTCGTGGACGTTCTATCTTGATAGGTACTTTGTAGACTCGGTGATTACCCATATGGTCTGTCGATCTTGAATTGCGCCGTTCTTTATGTCTGCCTTGAGATATCATCAACTAAACAGATTGAATGCATGAATAGTTCGTTAATGATGAGTACGCCCTTTTGAGATGACTGGGTGATTGGATGTTTGACAGACAAGATAATCAAATATAGTTATGAAATGATGAATTAAGAGTATGGGGACCTGTCCTGTCAGTAAACTTGGTGGGGGTACCTAAATTAAGTGGACGGCAAGTATGAAAGGTTAGCGTGTATTACATAACATTCTATCATCTACTATGCATGATTATTCTATTACTTCAAGAACATCATCGACGAACATGTATCTACAAACACAAGTTTGATCTATAATACCTCGCTGTACAATTCTAAAATGTCAAATAACCACTACCAATCATTCAAACTCACCCAGTTTTACTTCTCACAATCAGAACGCAATATCCAAGGACCAGCGACAAGTAGATTCGCAAGCCCATTTCAACCATCACACGTTGAATTCCTCATGTCGAGTTTCTGAGTTTCTATGTTTCTGTCCCTCCTACAGATAACTGGATGGTATTCCCTGTTCTCTTCCTCATCATTCACTATCCTTCGAGATAAACCATTGATCGCCCACCCCTCATTTCTACTCTTTCGAACACACCAAGTGCTCCCAGCCCCTTGCCACCCCTTGAAACCCCGCCTCACAACTTCAACACCAACACCAAGATCAACACCAACATCTCACACCACTACCTACCCACTACCCACTACCCTCTACCACTTACCCGCAAGTTTAAGTATCCCCGTAAACTCTCATTCCAGTACTATAGCACTATAGTACCGTAGCATCATACAACCTTCAGCATCCATAAATCCAAGAGATGCAATTGGAATCTCCCTTCCCTACCACCATCAATCTTCCTTTCTTCCAAGCTCTTCTCTTCTCTTCCACCACTACCACTACCACTACCACCAACCTCTCAAATTCCATGTCCCCTCATCTCCCTTCCCTTCCCGCCACTTCCACCTTATTCATGGGGGCAAGCCCCCAAACCCCCTTTAGCTCGCTACGCTCGATTCTCAGATATCCTTTCCTTATTCCCGAATCCTAAGCCTCATTCTCCATTCTCCATTCCTCATGGCCTTACTCCTAATCTGCCTCCACGGCAGTGGCCCCCGGAGGGCCAGCGGAGCGACATTTACCCGCTTCTTGACTTACCTGCATACATAAGCTCTACCGAACATACCAATAGGTACTCAAGAGCTTCTCACAATTTCATACGTAGGAAAGTTGGTTTGTAGTTTAAAGGTCAGAAGCAACGCCAATGTAGATTCATCTATAGTGATCTAAAAGAATTTCCTTCCTTCCTCCATCCATCCATTCATCCATCATTCATAATAAAAAAGAGCTCCTTTCAGTATTCATCTAGGTATTCGTTTGCTTTCATTCGTTCGTTCGTTCATTTGCCCGCTCGCTTGCTTGCCTTCCATCAACCATTCATCTCTCCTGTATATGCCCCTTATTCATCCACAACCTCGCTTCCCCATTCTAACCATCATTCCATCTACAAAATTGTGCCGAAGCTATATTGTCAATGAGATTAGCATGCGTCGCAGTACAAATCCCACCGAGAACCCCCAAAGGAACTTACCCAAAAGTCTGTTTGATACTTCTAACATAATATTCACTCCAATTTCTCTTTGTAACTTCTTCTTGGCCAACTGGAACACCAGACCAAGAAACTCTCATAACCGTGACATTATCAACATCATTTTGATCAAAGTTAATCTCTAATCTAGAGAAATGTCCTTGTGGCCATTGATCAAGTCTCCAACTTTGTACGATTTTTGTTGGTTCAACAAGTTCAAGGTATTCACCAGAAACATTTCCTCCAAAAAGTTCGAATTTTCCTCCCTTCTTTGCACCTTCAAATAATTTTGGGGCGGCGCGTGTAAATGCGGCAATTCGAGAAGGATCGGTAAATGTTTGATAAAGTTCTGAAGCTGGAGCTCTGAATTCTTCATTATCGGTAACAGTAGTTGTGTTGACTAAAGAAGAACCTTTGTTGGAAGATGTGCTTGTAGATTGACCTGGAGCATAATGAGGATAAGTCTTTGCGGCTGTGATTTTGGCAGCTGGATTTGCATCTGGTGCATGTTGAATATCTTTTCCATGTTCCGTGATAAGAGCAGGACCTAATTGTGCGAACCGTTTTCGGAGTTGTGGAATAACCTTTGCACGAAGAAGATCCTTGACTGGGGCTTTGGAATTGGCATCAGAATAAATATCTATGTCAAACTAAAAAATCACCATTAGACAATTCATCCCAAGTGTTTATTCAGGAGACGATTCAAACATACAACATACTCATTCTCTTCTGTATCATGAGCAACTTCAGGAACTGTGATGGTACCACTAACGGATTCATCATCTTTGGTTTTGCCTAGTCCAATTAGACAGAAATTCATAATATTGACTATAACTACAGGGCATACCTGAATACTCAATAACGAGCTTGACATCAAATATGGTAATGACCTTTCCCTTTCGTTGATTGACATCAACATCTCCATCCATACTAATCAATTTATCCAATTGAGCAGTAACACCATCCTCCTCTGCTTTAACCTCCTTTATGTTATCCTCCAACCATTGTTTTGCCCATGTTGAAGCATCTTTGTTTACCCAGTGCCAATTGTTTGGGTTGTGAAGAACCATATTGATCGAAGTTTGATTGAAAGTTTGTTGGTTTAAAGAATCTGCCAAAATTGAATGTCAGCGACATGCATTTAAAATGAATGTGAAGATTTTCCAATATGTAAATGAAGGTTTTTTTTTTGTTCAGAAGGAGGCCCGAAGGCCATAGCATTGTCTTCAAAGATATGAGTACAAATCGACTCTGACTGGTGCCAGCTTGTGTCTCATCATTAAAAAAAAGGAAGGGGGTTTGAGATCTCTGTAGTGAGAACTATTGCAACGTACCTTTTAATTTGTAGAAGAAAGGAATTAAATGTAGATAATTATTAAGAAAAGCAACACAATCAAACTTGCAAAGTTGATATGACTGTAGACTGAAGAAAGAAGGGAGTATTTAAGCAGAAGTAGAAGAGTTGTTGAGATGGTGGGAAATGAGGCAGAAGTAAGAAATTATTTTGAAGAAGAAATCAAAAGAATGAATTGGAAGTTTTGAGGACAAGAAGAGGTTCAAAGTCAGTGGGGCTACATTCTAATATGGTGTAGTGTGGAATTTGTGATGCCTTAGAATAATTGAGAATTGTAAGGCATCAATCTAGATGGGTAATGTTACAAGTAACAACTTGGTGTATGGAAATCAAAATTGATATTTGAATCCACGAATGTCCTCATCTACCTACCTATCTAGGATGCACAGCAGGAATACTTGAAGAACGTGCGACGACAAGTATCGAATAGTCACTAGCAGCGTTATGTGTACTTCCCAAGAGAGACCGGGCATCTTCATACCAGTAAGAATTTCTTGAAACCATTCCATGCACTCTCACGGATCTAGAGAGCGCGCACAAGCCTCAAGAGGAAGAAGTCAGCCAGGTAGCAATAGTCGGCACTCTACTATTACCTAGTACATCATTATCAGTTGGGGCTCAACCGCCTAGATCATATCAATTTCGGGAGTCCGGGAACAAACAACCACGTACCAAATGAAAGTATGACTTCCGAACAATTCAGCTCTGTGATCAACTCAGCGGTTACTGGTTACTGGTTACTGGGTATTCCGAATTTTGTCTCTTGGATAGCGTCATGTGAGTTTTCCATCATATGATCAGCTTATCAAGCCAGCCCTTATTACCTTGGCTCGATTGGCAACCGGAACGGATCTTGTTGGTGTAGGTTTTTCTTTCGATCGAATGGAGAGCGGCTTCTACCAAAGCCGGCGCTGACCATTTAGTTTCCGTCCGGGAGTTTGTGAAGTTGTGTAGGTAGCTTCGTATTGAGATGAACTGTATCAACTGTATGAACTGTATGAAATGTATGAGATTTGATATTGTAGGTATTTTTCAAGCACTATCTATCGTAGAGGGAGGGGTAAAATCTTTGGTAGAAAAAAAAAAGACTCGATTCCAGGTTTCTTGAATTCGTCATAAACACAAAAAGGACGATCACGGCTTTGATATATATACGAGTATAGTATCTAGTATCTTTATCAAATGTCTCACCTAATACCTACCCTACCCACTTACAAACATACGTAATAATCTCGTAGGTCAAGAGAATTTCATAGTCATCGACTACCTAACCGTCCTAACCCAAGTCCCCCTTTCCGCAAGCGATGAAGATTTTCCCCTACCAAGCCGAGTCAGATATGAAATCTTCACAAACACCGGTAATGTTTTCGTGTTCAAGGGTCGATATTTGATATTTGTGGCTGCAAACGTCATATCTGATTTTACCCTTGTCAAATTCAGCCATTCGTGCTTCAAGAATGGATGAGGGACCAACCAACACAAGTGCGTGCGTGCATGGAAGAAGCGGAACGGAAGGGATGCACGTCAAGAAACAAAACGTGATCATTTTAACTTTTATAGATCTACGAGGACAGTAGCTTACTGAGATTGAGCATTCTCGTTATCGATGTAGAGAGTGAGGTAGGAAGGACAAGTATTTACTGTATGTTATTTCTTTGAAAAGATTTTGATGATATTAGACACATACCTAGTAGATAACACGAACTTACCTCGATTTCCTGCTCGAGATCATTTCCCGTTCTCTCACAATATGAATGATAAATGATAAATGATGAAGCTAACAAACATTAAAACCAACGCCTCAAAAAGCTTAACAATTATACTTTTACTCATCCGATTTACCGGACTCTCTTATATTCACACTCACACATTCGGTAACACCGAATGAAAATATCAATAGTGAAACCGGACCAAAATAGAGGTAGCTGGGTAGATAAATACTCAACAGAAACTTCGTCTAACCTCTCATCAATCCGTTTTCATATCTTGGCGTCTATCGGATGTGATACATTGATCCAAATTCGGTCTAAGGCATATACATATCTTCTCCCTCTATCTCTCTCTACTCGTAACCCTTCAACTCCTGCCACTCAATACGGACATGTCAAACCGACCACAGCCATGACGTAGTTCACGAACCCTTCCAATCCACCCCCTCAAACCACAAAAATATATCAAAGGTTTATCATCATACCTAGTACTCCCTTACCAAGAAAGAACAAACACCAAGCTTATCCTTAGTAGTTAGTCGATTAGTTGCTTCGTAATACATCAAGCTTTGCTTTTACCTTTCTATTTAATTTTTCTTTCTTCTCTCATCTTTCTCTCTTCTCTTTATCAATTAAGATATCTTCTTATATTTTCGTCTCAAGTTTCGCTACTTTAATTGCTTTAAGATTCAATTGTGTTTCAATAACTAATCATATTGAAATAATCCTTTGTTGCTTTAAGGAAACTTCATTGATAATCTTCACTATCATCACTATCATCATTATCGTCTACACGGCATAGATACCGGTACCTCTTTATAGCAAAGAAAAGAAGAACTTGTTTCTCGAAACACAAACTACCACATCACTACACCACACTACCATCCAATTCCTCAATTCCCAAACCCCCAAGTAGTACAAATCTCCATCCTTCAAAATGGCGATTATCTGGGGTCTAGATCTCCGGGATATGCAATGGGGAAAGTTCAAGGGAGCTTATATGTTCAACCACGTCTATCATCTTCGCAAAACTAAGATGATCGTATATCAAATCGCCATGATTCTATGTGTGTGTTCGGAATCCGTTGGAACGGCGGCCCTAAGTGGTAAGAATCCTTCTCACTTCTCATCCTACGCTATCAACTCTCACATCACCAAAAAGTAACAGTACTAATATTCACACCCAACTTTCAGATTACGTCGATCAACGAGATGGCATTAAATCACGTTACGGATATCATACATCAGTCCGAGACATTGTTGGGATTTTCTCCTTCAATATCTTTGTCGGTATAGCCGTCGCAACCATTTTTGGTTCTGGCTTCTTTTTCGATCTCTTCTGGCCCCAACGTCATGAATCCATCGCAGTTAAAAAAGCATGGAAGATTTGTTCGGTCTTGATGTGTTTCCTTACTTTCGCAGATGCTATTGCTCTTACCGTATGTATATATCTTGAATCATCTCATCCCTTCTACTCTCTCGCTAACCATTTCCATACAGGTCATTGTAGCCACCCAACGCGCAACGATCGATGGATTAACAAACTCCGAAGCACAACAATACTTCGACTTGAACGGTCCCCCAAATCCCATCTACCGCAAAAATGCATATTGTGTTGCTTCCGTCGTCCTTCTATGGCTTGGTATGCTAGGCACGATTGCCAGGTTAGCTCCTCCCACCCTATGTATCTTTAAAGCCATCAACTAATATATTTTCCAGTACATATATCATGTGGAAATCACTTGCGCACGACAAGGTTCTTGGACCATTTGCCAGCAATTTCGGACCCAAAGATGAACCTTGGCAAATCCACACGAAATCCGCTGCCATTGATACCAACAGTCCATCAATGGCCGAATCGGGTATTGCTGAGCAACCCATCACTGCCACCAATGGTCCAGCAGTGGCTCAACCAACTAATGGACATCAAACCGTTCATCACACAACTTAAGATCTATTGATCTACATAGTCCAACAACACTTAAATATACAAAACACAAAACGAGAATCCAAAGGAGGAGAAGCAGAAGCGGAGAAACATTTATACCCCACAGCACGATATTGAATGAGTTCAATATTCTTTTTGGAAAGGAATGAAATGAAATGACAGGAAAGAGAAGAACGGTTATGTTTTATTACGTCACGCATGCAGAAGGAAATAAATGATACCAGGCATGGAATTGGAGTTAAGGGGGTTTTCTTTGAATATTAGTCACTTTGATTTATGAACTACCTTACCTACCTACCTACCGAGGTCAAGGGAGGATAGTTCATGGTAATGAAAAGCGTGCATAATTACTTACATTTTTTCTTCCATTTCGAAAAGAATGCTTTGGATTTGCTGTGACGTGATTTGATAAATGGTACATCAGAGTAGTTCCGTATGTGTTCGTGTTTGTCATGGCACTAGCCCTGTGACAAACTGAGGATACATAGGTATAATTTTTCAACGGCCACCCCGTCCCCCCCGCAAGATCCCCAGACGGATCAGAACGATGAACATAACGTATAATTTGATCATCTTATTCATTAACTAATTGACTGATTGGACGGTATGTAATTACTTTTTTTCCTCGCCTAGCACCCCCCTTCCACCTCCACCCCTGAGCAATGATTTGCCGAATTTAATATCATAAAATAGCCATACAACTCGCACTAGCTCAAGCTCAAGCCCAAGCTCAAGTCATGCGCTTGAAATCAAGTGAGTGAGTGATTGCATTTCGCATCTTAAACATTGTCTCCCCCTCCACCCCATCCACCTCAACCCCCAAAATCATCGCAAGGAATCGGAACCGGTGAGACATGCGTGCATGAACGCGTGATCCGTCCTATGCCATAACATCTACTTGTACGATCCAAATCTTATCCACACTCAACTCCCTAGCCTCCCGACTTTCATCCGCCACCTAAGCATAAAATTGGTATGGTCGCATCATTCCTTACCCTTCCCTCCCTGCCTCCTTAACCCCCCGGGAAAGAAATACCTAGCCAGACAACACAAAGTCCAGCGTAGCTCATACTACTATATGTATAGAGATAGTCTACACCAGAAGTTGAATTCGCTTGTACCTCACACCTGTTGCCGAGGAAAAAAGAAAAGAGCACATCGGAAAGACCAGACGAGACGAGACGAAAAAATGAACTCAAACTAAAATCAAGGGAATTCGTAAAAAAGGAAAAAGAGAAGGACGAATTCCTCGCTATGCATAGAAAGAAATTATATGCACCAATTTGACCGGCCTCCTTTCAACCCAAAACGCCCCGATTGAGGAATTGAACCCCAAAACGTATACTGTGAAGAAATATAAAGCGAAGATAACAGCCGAATAAACTAGGGTATACCTCCCATCCATTTCCCCCTTCCCATTTCCCAATGAGAATGATGATTATTTCATGAATATGAGTAATTCTGTTTCATACATTCTCGGGTTTAAGTTTCATTAGACGTCATTTAAATTTCATACATTCGTTTATGCGTTTGCATTATCAGCAACTTCGACTATTCTTTCGGTTTCGTCGATGCTAGGTAACAGAATACGATGACCGCGTTCGGATTTTGGAACACCATCTCGTGATGCACCAAAGTCGAGAACCTATTGAATTTATTAGTAAAGAGTCAAGTGAAAATTTGGAAGTGAATGAATACTAACCTCGACAAATGTGAAATTATCACGCTGTACGGCAGCGACACATCTTCTTTCATCAAATTTGACTTGCCACACACCACTCAAGTCACCTAAAAGGTCCTTGATACATTCACCAGTTTTGACATCCCACATTTTCAAAGTACGATCTGATCCAGAGATGACCTTTTGTCCATCATGTTGGAAACATGTAATGGCACCTGTATGTGCACTCAAAGTGCTCTTGCATACACCACTTTCTGGGTCCCAAATTCGCAATGTTGAATCTGCAGCTGCCGAGACCAGACGTTCATCACGTAAATCTAAGAGACCAACAAGGGAGGTATGACCTTCAAGTGTGAATAAACAAGAACCAGTCTCAAGACACCAAACCTTGACGTATGTATCCATAGAACCACTGATACATCTATTGCGTTTATGATCTAAAACAACACTATAGACTTTTGCAGTATGTCCTGTTAAACGATACAAAACTTCACCAGTTGAGATTTTCCATACTCTCACTGAACAGTCGTAACTACCGCTTACTAAAGTATCTTGATGAGCAGCGATAGCACGAACTGAATGAGTATGTCCAGCTAATACGCGAACAAAGTAAGGGCAATCAGCATCATTAGTTGGTGGTCCAGTTTGAATGTATCGCTTATCTCCTTGGGCTGGTAATTTCCATACGCGTAATTGAGAATCACGAGAACCGGTAATAATAAGAGGTTGCTCAGGAACCATAATAGATTGACCACTTGCTGTCTTTCCTGCTTCTGACGGCATGAGGATTTGTAAACATCGTACAGTTGAAGTATGACCATGAAAGACTTGAGTGCAAAGACCTTTTTCAATATCCCACACGCGTACTGAACGATCAGTGGATCCAGAAACAAGAACATTTCCTTCATACTGTAAAGCCCAAACGCCTCCTTCGTGTCCTTCAAGCTTTTTTCGTAGAGCTCCAGTTTTAGTATCGTAGACATGAATACATGTATCATCACTACCTGTCAAGATCTTTTCATCATCAAATTGAAGACAAGTGATTACATGAGATGGATGAGCTTTGAAAGCCATATGATGAGGTTCAACAGTACGATTTGTCCAGCTGTGCCGAAGAAGAAAGTGGCGGCGATATAGGGATTTAAAAAGATGGAGTTTTCGTAATCCTGGCAGACCTAATTCGGGATTTGGTACTGCCAATGCAGCAGCAGAAGCAGCGCTTAATGGGCCTTCAGATTTATGAAATCTGGATGCCGGATCTAGTACTTTGGTTGAAACATCATTGCCTGTCGCTCTTCTCTTCGCGCGTTCCGATCCCGAAGTTCCAGTAGTGCGCTTTCTCTTAATGGTAGCCCGAGGTCTTCTAAGTGAATCAATCTTGCTGCTACTACCAGGCGTGTTTACTTCCGCATTGAGTGGTTTGTCTTTACTACTCAAATTCATTTCGTAACCATCCGGTCCATAAGGATCTTGCCATGCCCAACCTTGTCGTATTGCTCGATCGAGTTCTTCAGGCTGAAGTGTGAAACCATCACGATCAAAGAGTTCTTTCCATCCAGTCTCGTTCGAGTCAATAACATTTCTCCAACGCTTCGAAACTTGTGCGGCACGACAAAGGTCTTTATGGTCCAGGTAACTCAAGATATGTAGGCTTAATTCAGCAGGAAGTTCATCAAGGAAATCGCACATTAAAGCAGGATTTACGAAACCCGCAACAGCCCGTAAGGTTTTCTTGGAGCACCTTCTACCAAGCTGATACATCACTAGGGTCTTCAATTCGCTTGGCATCGCATCGAAAGTGTCCAGCATAGAACCAATATCCATGACGGTAGAAATTTGTGAATGCAATCCTGTAGCTTTGATATGCCGATCCCGAGTCGTACTTGACTGAGCTGCCTGAATAGAATACTCATCTAATGTCTCCTGATTGTCGCCTGTATCATCGTTATCAAATTCTGGAGAGGTTGGAGTAGGCGAAAGACCAGGGCTAGGCAGGCTTGCGTTTTGAGCGATTGCAGTATTCAAATGTGGGCGTTGGCCTTGTGCGAAGTTTGTATCAAGACCGGACGACTCAAGATCAGATTCTGCAATTGGTGGTGTAGCAACTGCGTTGTTGAACGTTTCTTCACTGACAATTTCCGAATGACTTTCTGAATTCTCGAACGAATCGTTTTGGCTTAGACCGGATTGAGGGGTGTATGCATTGGTTGGAAATCGAGAGCTTGACGAAGGAACAACTCTTGAAGACGATTCTACTTCGGACAAATCGGGAGTTACTGGCAATTCGGGTAGGTGCATACCAAGACCAAGGTTTCGACGTCGAATTTCGGGTTGAGCAGTCGAGCCTACATTTTTAACTTCATTATTGGAAACTTCTGGTGCTTGTGAACTGCTGGGTCTGCTGGCGGGTCGATAGTCGGATGTCCCTTTCGATTTCGAACACCTTCTTCTCAAGTTACTACTTTCAGCATCCAGCTTAATCATTCTGTCTGTTCTAGCCAATCCATCTTTGAACTGTTCTCGATTCTCTTTCGATCGACAGCGTGAAAGGGAATTGTGAAGAGATTCGATTTGTGAATTCTGGAGATTTTCCAAGATTAGTAATGTAGATCTCAAAAAAGCGTACAAGAAAATGAAAATATTCGAACCTCGCGCATAATACTTCGTAAATTATCTTCCTCATACTCCATTTGTCGTCCATCAATTTCGTATGAAAAACTGGTAAGCTCAGCAGGAGTCGGTTTGAATGCTAAAGGATATTCCTTTGCGTCAAGGCTATCGAGCGGTCGAGGATTTTGGAAGAGTATTGGAGGATATGATCGCTTGGTTGTAGTGGTTGTGGTAACAGTTTTCGTTTCGATAATATCTTCCAACTCAACTTGCAATCTCGATGCATGTCCAACTGTATCGTCTCCATCTTGCCATCCTAAAGAAACGGTCTGACTTGGATGTCGAGTCTCGACACTATGCTGCAACAACTTCGAATTCGACTTGAACGGACTCGGAGAGGCGTCTGATTTGAATTTTGGTGTTCCAGACATTTGAGTAGTTTGGGAAAGAGTTCGATGTTTACTCTGAGGTCTATGAGGAGGATCCATTGCGTTGAAATTCGAGTGCTCAGATGAGTTCGAGACTTTAAGAAAAAGTTCTAGCCTGCCCCTCTCCAGTAAGCCGTACGCGTTCCTAATATGAGGCTGACCAAACGCGAGTATATCGCAACGTTAAAACAACCCCTAGTTCCCTATGATTCCAATGATAACATAGCCAAATTAATCGACGTTGAAAAGTATTATCGTAGTCGTGGTGGGGGTATTTGAGATATGGAATCGACACGGATGACAGACAATCTGCAGAGTATGAAATCGGGGGCAACGTGGAAGAAGCACCGTGGTGAGACAATATGAAGTTGGTGAGTGGAAAGTATTATATTACTGCAAATAAAGAGAAAGAGAGAGAATGTACAAGAGAAGGGGAGAAATGAGTCCTTTTCTGTGTGAGAGAAATGAAGTACTGCGAAGATTTATCTCAGCGCGTGTGTACTGACTGGGTGGTGGTGAATGGAAAGTGGAAGGTGGAGATAGATCGGTTCGTATGTGGTTTGTTTCGCCGAGTTTAAACTTTTTTTTATTAAGCGGTTCTGGACAAGAATGCTCATCCATTCGTTGCCTTCACCGTACAATGGCGACAAATAGGTAGGTAGGTACGTAGATACCTAGGTACTACTCAGCTACGTACTGATGAATGTATGTGATATTGACTCTTATGTAATATTCTACAAAGGCAGGACAGGAAGGCGGAGTCAGCGAAATGGAACGTCAACATCACATTCTCATTCATTCCAGTATATTTATATTTAAGATTACATCTTGACACGGAGTACATATTACCAAGATATTTATATCCATAAAAAAATGGGGTCCTCATGAATCTCATCATTTTCTTGAAATACTACTTATACCCAGGTACTTACTGTACAGTATCGTCGCCACATTGCCTCACGATCTACCTCTTTTCATACTCGGGTTTCCGCGCCCCTTGTTGTCACGAGAAAGAGGCAAGATTTTCTGTCTATGTCTTCTATATGTACTTACGATAGATCACACACTGTTACATACCTAGGTAGGTATTAAATAAATGGACAATGAAATATCGACATTTTCTTTCTTTCCTTCTTTGCTTGGTACCATGGCAACAAGGAGATCTTCTAGTTGGAGAACTTCTGTGTATCTACCCGAGGCGAGCGCAACTTGCTTTGAACATGTCTATCATAATTTTCATGGCAAATCATCATACTCTGAGTTAGCCATCTTGAATGACTCGATCTTCAAGTGTGTAAGTAGAACTCCGCACGACAAAAATTTTCAATATGTGCCGAGCCCGCCACAAGAGGATTATACGACACTGGGTATTCCGTATCTAGGGATGTCAGCTTACAAGTACACAACAACACATTCCCCTTCGTCTTCAGGTCATGAGCTCTGCCTCTAAGTGCTTGATATATTTACCAAATAGACAATACAATAGCTATCAAGGGAAATGGCTATTGAATGGTTGATATTGATGCGGCTCTCAACCAGAAATTGTTACATTACAAATGTTCGGCCTCCACAGAAGGGGCACTAGAGGATCAGGGGAGCGTCTATTCAGCCGATATATCAATCAGTCTAATGATGCCATGCGTGTCAACTCTTAAAGTTTTATATGTCAAAGCAAAGGCTAGCATGGGATATTGTGAACTCTGCCTAGAGTCGTTCAAAGGCATCGGGTAGATGAAGGGAACTCATTGGATTCTACAAGTGCTAGCATGATAGATTCCCAAAACAATATCAAATGGGAGAGAAGTTGTCGAACTGAACGAGATTATACTCCAGAAAAAATGGCAAGATTATTCAGATAGTTCGCATGATATTCCAAGACCAGGTGTTGAATGACGGCTGTTTGAAATTGAACTTCTGGATGAATCGTTTGGAAATGCAACCTATCATTGAGAATTGGAAGTACTCATAGTTCCCCAAAATGAAAGGGGCTGCATGTCTATCCAGCCAGTAGGTGAAATGTATGAAACGTGGAATTGCCTGGTTGATGTTGATTCCATCGAAGTAATGGATTGACAACGTTAAGATTCATTTGCTGACCGATTCTTGGGCATACCTACCTATTGATTCTGTCGCCATCTACCATGATAACACGGTCTGAGGCTAAACTGTGTAACAGTCTACAGTTCACGAATCTTTAATCTGTATACTAGACAGGTAGTAAGTATTTGGAAGTTTCGAAGAATCTCAGCAAATTGATGAGATATGAGGGTTTACTTCTTGTCTCTCCGAATCCTCAGATTCCTACTAGAAGTAATCGGACTGGACTGGGTAACACTCAGTTCATCTCAGGTTCTGCTTATCATTTGGGGTGAGGGTCGAGGGCGAGGTCAAGAAGAGTGAGGGGTGCGCGCCTTCCCTTTCTGTCTACATGTAACTTCCCATTATCACATAATACCTACCTACCTACCTGCTTCTCGCCTCATTTCCTTAGTCATTCTCTTCTCCGTCAACTTGACACAAACCTTTCACTTTCACCTTCACTTTCAACTAACTATTTCCATCCTCATTCATCAAAATGTTGAGTTGAATATCTTCTCTGATTGAATTCCCTATCATCTTATATTGTCTTTTCCGTACAAAGTATTTGTCCACCATTACCTAGTATTCAATCATTTACTCGCCACGATTTTCTTCCTCATCGCCTTGAATTGGATTTGCCTAGTTTCTCCCGAGGGGATTCCAGGCTCCAGCAAGGGCCAGAGCTTTAATGAACGGTTGAATTGTGATTGATTGAAAGTTGGATTACACCTTCAACTTGTTTTCTGTACAACTTTCTCCATTCATAATTGTCCAGAAATCGTCCATATCAGCGCCCTTCATTATGCCACCAAAGCTACTCTCACATCCTGATCGTCCTGTCCGTGTCAAACCAGCGGTAAAACCACAAACGAAAACGAAGCAGAAGGGTAAGGGCAAGGCGAAGGCTCCTGTCGAAGCTCCTAAGACAGTCCAAGAACTTGTACTCAACCAACAAAAAAGTTTCGAGCTAGTTAAGATTGGTGTCAATGCTGCTGTGTGTATCCTGGGCCCTTTTACTTCTGTGCCCGCTAATAAATGCTTCTCAGGTCAGCCAGTTTGTGTTTGGTAGGAAATTCTTTCCGAGTAATTGTTACAAGACCCGAATCTACAATGCTTTCGATCCAAACCTCACCTATGAAACTTTTATCAATGGAACAAACATCCCCAAGAACTTCAATCTGAATGAAGCTGGCGATGAAATCGTTTCCTTCAATTCCGTTGTGCGAGGAACAGGTCACCCTGGCGCAGAAAAACTTCTCGATTGGCTGGTATTGTACCATATTCTAGTCTCTTATACAGTGGTTAACTAATCAACACTCAGGAGTTCGGAGTTGGGGATGCTGTAAGCGATAAATGTTTGGCAAAATTCCAACTTTCTGTTTATCGAAAAGAAGTCGTCCCGGAACAGCTTGTTGAAGCATTCACCATAAACTTCACTTACAAAGATGTTGAAAAAACCCCTCATGTTCAAATTTCTGCTTCCTTATCGAACAAGAATGGAAATATCATCAATTTAGGATTGGCACAGGAGGGACTAAGGGACTTGATTCGACAAGTTATGAATAATTCCCGAAATCTTCAAGGCCAATCGGGTGAGTTCATACCATCAAGTATTACTCTATATCCTCTGATCATAAATATAGTTGGACGCAAAGTGAGTATGCAATTGCTGTACAATGAAAATGCGCGCCCTAAGCATGAATATCGAGGATTCCGTGCTGCGTCAACATCTCAGATACTTCCTGATGGTTGTGGAATTCTCATGGGTCAAACAAGCAACGGTATTCATGGGTACAACATTGCGATATCCAAGACTCTCTAACCATTCTAACTTTTATAGACTTGAGATAAAGTACTATGATGCCCCAATCATCGATATCAACTTTTCAAAAGCAACCGCATTGAATAATATGATGGCAACCTCTAATCGAAAACTTTTCGCAACGGTCAGAGGTCTCAAATCCACAGGACCACTGGCAAACGTGATTATCGATGACAATAGCCAGTCTTCCTTGAGACAAAGTCAATTATCACAGAGCGTTGATACACAGCAGAGCACAATGCAATGGATCAATCAAATTGTAGGTTATTGCCGATACATAAAATATCTTATTTGGTCAATATACTAATTCGATTATGAATTAAGGGACACGCAAAAGGGTCTGATGATACGGACACACAACCGATACCCGCCTGCCCGTCAGCTACCTTTGGAAAGCATACGTCATTTCTTGAATTAGAAGAGCTCAATGGTAAAGGAGTTGGAGAAGTGTCTGAAGAAGAGGAGGTAGAGGAGGTACGGTGCCAGTGTCTTAATGATGATGACCGCGAGAATTTGGTATGTCAGCCTTCGTCTTCGTTTGCAAACTCTAATTTGTAAAAAGATTCAATGTGAAAAGTGTAGGAACTTTTGTCACAGTCAGTGCTATGGCTACAGCAGGGGAAGTGTCAGCGCGGATTTCGAGTGTTATGAGTGTCTTTTAGAAGAGTCGGAACCAGAAATTCTTTTCCAGAAAATGTATCCCCTATGTGGCCGCAGACGCATGGTGTATTATCTTGAACAGAATGGCTTCAATGATATGGAAGGTCTTTGCCAGTACATGAGTAGGTTCACTTCAACGAACATTTGTACAGCACTAATCACGATTCTAGATTGGAACTTGGAAAAGACGCAGAAAGAATTTGAGTCTTTGAAAACTGAGGGTATCATTAAGAAATGTTCAAAGTCCTCTAAGGTGCCATTTCGATTCTCCGACCTCAAGAAGCTTCGAATGGAATTGTTTGATCCATCTAAACACATTTCTCATACCAAGCCTGTGGGTTCTTCTTCGTCTCAGCGAATGAAAAGTTCTAATGCATTACAGTTTGCTACAGCAATCTCAAAACCCGATTTGACTCATAAATCCTTAGACCAGACCCAACTTACACCAGTCGGTCATCGTCTTCGTCAACTCGATAGTTCAATCAGAAGTGGCTTGCGA